GAGAATTGTTCATTGCTGCTAAAGCCTCAGCATCTGCCTTGTCTTACAGGTCTTCTGTAGCATAATCCTCTGTCTTCTCCCCCATAAGCATTTATATACTCCCTTGAACGGAGAGTTCATTCACGGCTGAGTGGTGGAGAGCCACTCTTCCTCATCCCTCCTGGGCATAAGTACTGGTGTCACCAAATACTGCAGTGTGACCTTTTCCTTGGTCTGTTTGTTTCTAGGGGGCAGGTGACCTTTTCCACTATGTGATTATTTTAGAATGCAAAAGCACATTATGCTCTTGAGCATCTACGTTTTTTTGATGCGTGAAAGTTACCTTTCAAGCAGTGAGGACTAGGACTGGAGTTGCAGTATTGTGAAAAAAAAAAAACTGCAAAGGTCTCGTGTTCTCCCAAGGCTTTTTAGACCTCTGATCACCTCATTTGGAATATGAGACTGTGCACATTCCCTAGGTTTTGGAGGAAAGGCTGGAAAAAAGCATATTTGGTATAATTAGCTATTCTACCTGCTCGGAGGTGGCAAAAGATTGGTGGATTCAACACTTCGTGGCTCCTAACTTTTTGCTAGTCTGTTTGGGAGTGGAAAGCATCCAATTTTTTTTTTTCCCTCGGGACTCAAGAAGGAAAAAAACACAGGAAAGGATGAGCTGCTAATGTTTTTATAAAACCTTGGAAGATTGCTGCTGCTTGTGCCTCATTCCTCCCTCCTCCACACGTTCCCAGCAGTTATATCTGGCTGGCAGCCAAGCAGTGCCTTATGCTGCTTTACTCTAGGTTTCCTTCACTGCTGTTAATGGTGACGTTACGACTAACGATAGCAAGCAGAGCTACCAAGCCTCATTGCTTGGCAGTCTTATGTTGTACATATCATTTAACTGGAGTCATACACCAGCAAGAAAAGCATATTGATCCTGATTAGAGGAGAGCTGGGCTTCCCCTCTCTGTTCTGTGAAGCAGTGCATTCTTCCCAGCAGTAGCTTGGGTGTAGAAAAAGTACCACCAGCAGTTTCATAGGAATACAATTTTTAAAAAAAGCTAATTACAAAGTTCAGGAGACAAAGGAGAAAGGTACATATGGAGTTCCTTAAGCAAAGAATCACAGAGTGACGTATTGACTTAGGTTGGAAAGGGTCTTAAAAACCATCTAATTCCAATCTCCTGCTCTGGGCAGGGATACCTTCCACTAGTTCAGCCTGCCTAAAACCCCGTCCAAACTGGCCTTCAGCACTTCAGGGATGGGCATCCATAGGTTCTTCTTTGCAACCTGTTCCAGTGCTCCACAAACCTCATCATGAACTAGTATTCCCAAGTTCTTCTCCTCAGGTCAGCTGTCAGTTTGTTCTCCAACCAGTCTGTTTGCACTTGGGATTGCCCTGACTTGGGAACAAGACACTGGACTTAGCCTTATTGAACTTCTTGAGGTTCATTGTTAGGTGCTGGCCCCTCCTCACTATCAGGACTAGCCACCTCTGCCTTGATTGATCACCAAGATGATGAAGGGACTGGAGCAGCTCTCCTGTAAGGAGAGCCTTAATGAGTTGGGACTGTTCAGCCTGCAGGAGGCTCAGGAGTGATATTAGGAATGTGAGTAAATAGCTGAAGGGACAGAGCAATAAAGACAAAAAAAAAGCTCCCTTTGGTGGTGTCCACTGCCAGGACAAGAGACTCCATCTGAACATCAGGAAGTACTTCTGCGCTGTACAGGTGATGGAGCACCAGCACAGGTTGCCCAGAGATGTTGTGCAGTCTCCTCCTTAGAGATCTGCAGAAACCACCTGAATGTGTTGCCGGGCAGCCTGCTTTGGATGGCCATACTGAAGCAAGGATTGGACCAGGTGACCTCCAGAGGTCCCTTCCAACCCCAGCCATGCTGTGATTCTGTGACCGTTCACTGTATTGCCCTCTGCAATGATCAGTCTTCCTTCATTTGCAGATGAAGTCAGAATTCAAATTCTTGTCTTATAATGCTGTGACACTTGTCTTTCATGAGCCATAAAACCACTTATTATTGGCCTTTTTTTTTTTTCTTTTAATTTAGTTAGAATGTAATATTTGTTTTTGAAGTGGAATAAGGGGCAGATGAAAGGTACAAACACAACTGGGTTGAGAGTGAGGTCAGAGAAGGCATTTAAAGGACTCCCAGATTTTAAATGAAAGTGCTAAAATTCAAGGCAAAGATGTGATATGGTGTGGCAGTGTTGCAGCAAAAGGCTGTCCGCACGTGATCAGAGAGCCATCCAGGTGGTTGTGGCTAGCAAGGACAGAAAGTGGACAGTTGACATCAGAACAAAAACTGGGCATAGATTAATGCTGGTAAGAGAAGGTGTGAGCAGAAGCACCCTGCAGCTACGTGGCCTCAGAATTTAAAACTAAGTGATAACATTGCTACTGCTTTCCTAGACCCTGCCATGAGGCCTATGAAAATAGCCCTTGCTATTGCTTCTTGGTCATTTACAGCAGATACTTCTTGGCAGAAGTGTCATTATGGTCGATAAGAAATTCAGAGTGTGTTAAATATACGAAAAAATATATGTAAACTACAGCATTTTGAAGATTAAGTGTCCTCATGGATAGCACCTTCTGCCTTGATTAAGGTCTGCAGGGTATGTTTATATTTGCTAATACTTCAAAAAATGTAAGTAATAAGCAGAGAAGGTTTTTCAGAATACGCAATTAAAATTTAGGGAAGATTTGTTCATTTTGCCATAATCTAGTATATATGAGCTTCCAATCCAACTATTTTTGACTAGTCTTACTTTTAACAAATGAAATTGCTACAGTTTTTATTTCTTTTCCAGAATGCAGGTGTAGACTTACAACAAGAGTACAAAATGTAACTGAAGGCACAGTGTGTTTGCAAGGGACTGCTTTATTAATTTCCCTTAAAGACAAATTAAGTTGCTTTATTTTAATTGCACGCTTTATTCCACACATTAAGGCTTCTGGACCTGTCAGGGTAATTGTGAGAGGGCGAGCTGGCAGGAACAGTGCCCAGGAGAACTGCTCATTAAAAAGGTGTATGGAACTGTGCAAAGAAAAAGAAATGCTGCACAAAGCTGAAAGTTCCCCTTCTACTATAAGGCACTAGAAGCACTTCCCAGCCTTTATTAAGGTATTAAATATTACTGAATTATCAGACTTCAAATTACTCATTTGGAATAGCTTAATTAAAATTTGTGTAATTGAGACTATATTCCCTTTGCTGCCTATACCTGCACAGCATTGTAAACGATGCTGGGATAGTTATACCCAAACTACCCAACTGCAAACACCTTTACAGCACCTCAGTGCCATTCTTGTATTTGCTCTGCTTTTTGTAATATTCTCTCTCAAAGAGCCCACAAGGCTTGGAGATATCTTAGTGATTAGGCCAAGTGGACCTCTGTTCTGAGCCAGCGTCATTGCTTTTTGTGTTCTTTTTGTATTTGTAGAGGAGTTTACATTTTCGAAATGCTGCCTAATCATTAACTCCGTAGGCCCACAGGTTTCATCAGCAGTTGTAAACTAAACCCATTCAGCAGCATTGCTGGGTGCTGAAACCTGTCAGCACACAGGGCCCATGTTGGCTTGCATAGGCTGTTAAGTGTCACGATGGTTGCACTGGGAGCAGCCTGGAGTGCTGGTGGGCTGGGTGGCTGTGCAGGGGGCTGCTAACCCTGGGGGTGCTCTTGACTGCCTTGAGTGAAGTTACCAGCTTGCAGCTGTATTTGCTTTAAGTATCTGTTGATCTGTTCTCCTGAACAAAAGCCTTTTGCTGGAGTGGGGCACTTGTTTCCGCACCTTGGGCTTGCTTCTGAATTGTGCAAGCAGTGGCCTACCTGCAGCGTGGTTGTGGTGTGCCGGGCTTACTTGTAACTGAGCTGGCTGTGGCACTGGCAGGAATGCAGCTGTGCTAGCTCTGACCTCACTCTTAGTAAATTTATTTTGTTCTTGTTTTAAATGGGTTTACCCATTTAAAGCTGCTTTCAGCAGAAGCCGGGGACTAGATCAGAGTACACACATCATCTTCAGTCTGATTCCACAGGCAGATGGAAGAGAAAGATGCAAATCCACTTTCCTGGTCGGATTAGGTCCAAGACACATTCTGTTTAAAATCCCTCCTTTCTTTTCAGTCTTGTCTAGCATTTACTTCTTAGGCTGCTGAGTGGTTGCTGTATCTTGCTGGGGGCAAGTATTAAGCAATGTTCACGTAGCCTTGACCAAGCCTGCCCTGTGCCAGGAGATCTATCTGCTCAGCATACTGCTGGTTGAGTACATGGCCGCCTTCTCTCTGCAGTGTCCTAAGAACCCGTGGGCACAAAGCTCCTTTTGAAGCAAGTGCTCTTGCTGATGATGTGGTTTTGTGAGCCGTGTGAGGAGGTTGCAATGAAACTGGACCTAGGTCGCTTGTGTTCTTCAACCTGCTCTCTGCAGTTTCCAGGAGGGTCATAGAAGTTTACCTTGCTGGCTCCCTGCTGGGAGCAGTGTTCCTCTCAGGACATGCTGGTTGTCTGTTTAGGTTGGGAAGCACAAACGTTTCATTGTTTGTTTTTTTTTTTTTATAGTCTCAGCCATAGCTGAGAGTTGCCTGCATTTTTCTGTGCAGGGCTCTTTGCTTCTGGCTGCCTGCAAACAATCTGGCCATGTGCCTCAGACAGGGAAGGAGGCAGGAGATCTGGAGCCTTATCTCTTAAAGTACCTATACTAAAAGGCTGTGGTGTTTTTCAGACAACCCTGCTGCAGTTGCTGGTTGTGTCCTTTCAAGTACTCTTAAGTTCAGCACCTTTGAAAGAACAGAAGTAAGCCTCTAGGACTTGCTGATTTTCTTTTGAAAGATTGATTGCCAAGGTTTTAGTGTATTTGTTCAGTGAAATATGGTTTCTAACATAGCATTTTTTGCCCAGTTCTTTGAACCACTGATTGTAATGTTTGAGTTCGGGTGGACAATGTCATTATGAGTCTGCTTATTTCTAAGATACAAAGCTAACCTCTTTTTCTGATATTCTTCCCCAACAGCGGACCTGAACAATGTCAGGTTCTCAGCATACAGAACTGCCATGAAGCTCCGCAGGCTGCAGAAAGCTCTCTGCTGTAAGTACCTGCCTTTGTGGCCCCAGATGCCAGGAAGACTTCAGTACCAAGCCATGAGTTTATTCACAACTTCTAGAAGTAGAAAAACACTTCCTCCACTCCTCCCAGGCGCTCCCCAGTGTATGGAAACTTCTCACCTGAGGCATTTCCTGATGCCATTACTTTGCACCTTCCTAGCAAGCTGAAAGTACAAGACACTTATGAGACAAAACAGTTGATCAGGAACAAAATCAACATTTCCTACGTACTCCTCATCTTTTCACTCTCAAGCCTTTTCACTTTTCATATCTTAAGATATTTTCTCTTTGCTCATTACCAGAGGCACATCCCATGTCAGCCACGTGCAGCTCAACATACAATCGGAATTGTTCTGTAATAAGAACGATGAGTGCCCAGAGGAAAAACTGTGCCAGAACTGGAACTGTTAATAGTTTGTTAGGTTGAATCCTGAACCCTGGGGGATTGCTGCCTTTCAGTGAGATCATCACAATAAGCATTTAGCTTCATTTCGACCCAGCTTTTGGCTGTGTTCAGAACTCTCTAGTCAGTCCTGCCACAATGACGTGCATGCGTGATCTGACATTGTAGTTCTCGCAACTGGTATATCATTTACTGCCTGTCACTTCAGTTACATTTCTGCTTTAGCTTCTTGTAATCCAATGGCTAAATAATTTGCTCATAGTTTTCTTGATAGACCAATCAGTTACAAAAGCAAAAGAGTTTGCTAGGGAGCACAGTTTGGAGGGTTACTAAAATATTTTAACGTTGACTACGTTTGGCATTTAATTATAGGGTTAAATTTCTGACACAGTTGCAAATGTCTCAACTGCTGATTTATCTCAAGTTTGGATTTGTGCTCACATGCTTTCTGGAACTGAGTCAAACCTCGAGGTTATCAAGCATGTATACTTTTAGACTTTTAAGGATGGGTGAATTCCACTAATGAGCAATCTCTAGATTTATTTAAAAAAAAAAAAAAAAAAGGTTTTTTTTTTTTTTAAAAAGCACAAAATTAAGCAGTGAAAATTCTTGTAAAATAATTGAAGATTTCAGCATGGATACTGTGACAAAGATTGAATTTTGATAGTAGACAATCAGAATTCCAAACATATTTTAATGACAATCGTGGGGAGCTGGCATAAAAAAATGGGAATAATATGCAGTGGGAAGTATTCATAATGAGTGCAGCACTGAAGTAATGAAGAAAATTCTCGAATTATGGGTTTCTCTAGCTGTCAGTGCATAAGCGTAGCAGGCAGGTTGAAAGTGCAAAACTTTGCATCCTGTTTTATCTGTAATTAGTTTTATTCTACCACTGAACAGTTCTCTGCTCATCTTGGGCTTTACAGTGAGGAACTGTAAATTACGCACTGAAATCAGTTTGTCTTTGCAGGTTACACTTAGGTAGGTTTTCTGAGAGTGGATGTTATCGGAAACACGCAGCAGCGCTTACACTGAATACTTTAGCACATTCTTCACTCTTGTAACTAAGGAGAAGTATTTAAGGAATTTGGTTAACAGTCTTTGTTCTTGCAAATATTTTTGCTTGGAGACACTATTCTCGTGTTTGTGTATTCTGTGCTTGCAGTGTCACTTGTGAGCCCCTTTTGATTAGATTAAAAAAAGCTAATTACAAAATTCTTTTTCTGCAATTTGGCACCAGAAGAAATAGAGCACAGTGTTGGGTTTCAGGACTCCTACACGTAGCCCCAAATGCCTGATTTCTACCTGCAGTAGTTGCTTCTCTAAGCTCCCACTTTTTATTTCAGCTTTAAAATTGCAGGAGTTTGAAAACTGTCTATGTACATATATTCTCTTATGCAAACTGCATAAAAAACACAGTAGTGTTATCTTCTGAGGAGTATTTTCAAACTCTGAAGGTGTGAGTACAAGAAAAATCCATAGGAGTGAAAAAGCAGCCTGTATTTCTAAGTTACAAGAGTACAAACGCTTTTAAACATGAACTGTATTTAGATTTGTGTTCAAAAATAACTTCCTTTGTAAATCGTCCCTATGAACTTTAAGACACTAGGATGTTAAGGATAATAATAGGAAAAGGTAATCCTTAACAAATAAATGCTTGTGAACTGTGTTACTTTAGGAGAATGTAACTTTAGGTGAGTGTGAGATTGTATCATTCCAGCCTTCAAAGTTGTTGTGGGCATGCCAAGTTAACTATTGCACTGTTTGTTGGGGTTTTTTTTTAATGTACGGTTTCCTTTGATAATCACATCAAAGCACATTGACTTTCTTGCTTTGCTACTTTTAAAGATCTGATCTTTAAGTGCAAACCACATCTGAACATTGTGAAGTCAATAAAATGTGATGTGTCCACAAAAGTTTCTTGGAGATGCAGTGAAAGAAAATATTCAACATCTTCTGTTAGGTTTTTTTTTTCTTTTAATTTTATACAGGCTACATTAAATATATATATTTTTAATGTATCAGCCAACAGCATCAGATTACAAGGAGATGATCTTGTATTTTGAGAGCATCATTAATGCTTTCTTATCACTTGCTGTATGTTGAGTTTTGCTGAACTCCGTTGCACACCTTATCCTGCCTGTTAAATTGTGTCTTCTGGCCTTCAGCTGGTTGGTTATTCGAGGTCTTATTTTATCCTTTTTCTGTATTCTAGCCACAAGCTGACCTAGCTGTAGACATACTTACTCTTGCCTTTAAGGCCAAAGAAATATTTATATACATTACTTGGAATTCAAAATAAGCTTCTTCTGTTCACTCAAATTTTGCTACAGTTTACTCAAATTTTGCAGTCAGTTTCAGAATTTTAAATAGAAGAGTGATGACCCATTAAATTTACAAAACATGAAGTGATCAAAGATTTGTAAATCACTGGATGTCCATGAATATGCAGCTCTTCGATATGTGTTTGGGCTAGCCCCCATTCAGTGTTTACTTGGTGCTTGCTCCCAGAAAAGAAATACACCAATAACTGATTCTGGAGAGGCCTCCAACACATTCCTTTAAACGTGGTGAGGAAGAGACAGGAGGAATTCACCTTGGTGAAGGCCAGAGCCACTCTTCCCCTGAAAAGAAGTCCCCTATAGTGGAGCTTGGTAGCAAACATTTCTTGCTTATGTTAAGATGGATATGCATTATTAAATTCCTGATAGGATGGGCGGCTGAGGAAGAGGCAGGGCAGAGGGCTTTTCAGAAGTTTCTGCTTATTAGCAGGAAAAGCTTTTGCAAAATGGAATGACCCATGTTTAGCAGTAGCTGATGTATAATTAAGCTGCCACCCAGATGCCTGAGGGGTTCATTTAATTACCATTGATTCACAGTCTCAAAGGAACTGAGAGTTCAGCCTAAAGCTCTGCATTAAAGGTATTGTGAAAGCATTGCTCTATTTTCAGTTCAGCTAATAAATTGCTAGAGGAAAGGTATCTAGCTATGACTCTTTGCGATGGATCTGATAAATATGCTTTTGCAGGGTATAGCACTGACCTCAGAATAGCCATATTTTATATGCTAGTAGGTTAAATAAAATATTCCAAATTTTTTTTTTTTAGTAACTATCCATATGCTAATATGAAAAACCAAAAAATGTAATAATGCCCTGTGCATATAACAACATATTCTAAGTTAAATCTCTTGGTACAGTACTAGGGGTAGCGTTGTGGGCTTTCCATATTCACTCTAGCACTGAGTACCTCAGGCACCAGGATGAAATTTTCAGAAGCACTTGCAGGATTTAGCAGTAGATATTCCTATTGATTTGCAGTAAAATTTCCACTCCCAAAATTCTTTTGGCAGTTCCAGAATCACAGCATACTATCAATGCAATGTTACCAAGCAGCCCTGCACGCAGCTGAAGTATTTTTCAAGGCGCCAGTTTAATCTTTGGTATTGTTCTTTGGTATTCTCAAGTGTGAATTTGGCACATGTGCCCTTAAGCTGCATGAAGCTCTAAAAAAGGATTCCTGTATGAGGTTCTGCATTTTGCCTACCAAGACTCAATAAAACACAGTTTTATTGCAGTGAGAGAAAAACAGGTCTTGCAATTGGGTCAGTTTATTTCCCAATTCTGTAACAAATTTTCAGGATGGTTTTCCTGAGGTGCACTGAATTGTGCTGCACTTTGTGACTACTCGTGGTATGCGTAGGGCTAGCAACATCTGGGCTTTCATTTCCCCTTGCTCAACCTCTAGAAGTTCTATGCAAGGATTTACAGACGGTTTTCATGTCACAGCAGGAAGATCTACTGCCCCAGATAGTCTCATTTTTCTGATTACTTTTGTTTTCAGCATCTCGTAACTCTCTGATTTGGTGTCTTCCAAAGTATGAAATTGTTATTATTCAGAAATTAAGAATATTTTTAAGAGCTGATGTTCTGTTTTGCTGTGGACATCCAAATTTCAAAATACAGCTGACTTAAACTGAAATAGAAATCAAGATTTTAAATGTCAGTAGCAGAAAAACTGTTTTGCGTTGACTGATAGGTATTAAATTTGCCTTACTGCATTATGTCATAAAGATACTTACAAATTTAAATACTCATCAGAATTAAAGATTTATAAATTCTATTAATAAATTTTGGAATCTTTTTTCCCATGTTCTTGCCAGAGAAAAAGTAGCAGGGAAGTTGACCCCCCTTCCATTGTGATTTTTTTGCATGTTCCTGGTGGAATTTGGTTCATTGAAGATTTCTTGACTTCTTGAGTAGTGCATTTCACAAAAGCTGAGGATGAGCACTGTGTGTACAGCACATCCAGTGAACACGGTTGTCAAATAGTACCTTATCTGTAGGAATATAAAACATGAAACATAGAATTTTTATTTACACGGTAGTTTAGGTAATATTCCCATACAATTTAATAGTGTAATGGGTACTTCATGGCTAAAAAACCCCAAAACATTTTATAAACACTGCTAAGACCACAGCTGAATAAACAGTGCACCTGTGGGAGTCTTGGAACCAGTCTTACACCTGACTACCACAGAATATAAAATGTCCTCTGACCAGACATGTAAGCCAAGCAAACTGTTGTATCTATAACTCCTTTTTGATACTGGTAGTACAACCACTGTCTCTCTGCAGTCTTCATTGTGTTTCTTTATTTTTGCAGTGGATCTCCTGAATCTGTCTGCTGCATGTGATGCCTTGGACCAGCACAACCTCAAGCAAAATGACCAGCCGATGGATATTCTGCAGATCATTAACTGCTTGACCACTATTTATGATCGACTGGAACAGGAGCACAATAATCTGGTCAATGTTCCTCTCTGCGTGGACATGTGCCTCAACTGGCTGCTGAATGTCTATGACACGTACGTATGGATGCTGTAAACAGAGTGCTCTGAAAAGCTTTCCCAGCATCACGAGGGGAAAGGGGAAAGGGCATGAGCTGGCTGCCACGCTATAACATATGAATGGCTTGAAGCTAAAGAAATAGCAGTTGAACTGAAAGTGATGGCTTTAATGGCTGCATTTAGCTCAATCGATTTAGCCCCTGATTAGGCCTGCAACATTGGATTTATTCATCTAAACAATGAGAGCTGGAAAACAGAACAGATTGCTGTGTTCAGAGCAATTCTAGGATCTCCCCTGTTGGTCATGGCTTTGCATGGCTTTTTAAAATTTCTTCAGATAAAGCAATTCAAGAGAAGTATCAAGAAGCAACAGTAGGATTAACATCGTATAGACTCTTGCTTGTGTCTGTACTTCTGGATGCTAAACATTTTCAGAGCTGTAAGTTTTCTGTAGCTTTCAATCTATAATCCTTGGTCAAAGTTGGAAGAGCTTCATCTGTAATCTTAAGCATTTACAGCCCTTAGCAGTCAGGAGATATGAGAAATGCTTCATGTAAAATTTAATTTTAAAAAGTCTACCTTTAAGTGTAAATAGAGCATATGTAAATAGAGCAATAAATATTTACCTTAATCAAATTAAAGATGTTCTATTCAATGGATTAGTGATGTTGTTCAGATAAATACCAACGCATGTTCTGCAAACTAATTTTAGAATAAGCCATTCTTTTTGTATTTAGTGAATTTAGTGAAACGAAATGTCAGTAGAAGTCTTTATTTGTGTTTGTTTTTTTAAGGTTCTTATCAGTTGCCTTCAGCCAGACATGCCCATTACTTTGGCAGAATAAAATTCATGTGTAGAAATGGAAGCACATGAAAAAATTACTGTATTCCATTGCCATTTTGAACTGTAGTAAAGTTCCATAACATTATTCTTCCATCCATCCTTTATCACAGCCCTGAAACTTCAGTGATCACCTGCACACAAAAGAAGTATGCAGTCTTTTCCTGCAGAATCATCTGTGATAAGACAGTTGCTTGTATCATCATCTGCAGCAACTGCAGAATCCTGTGAAGTGGATTACGCAGATTACATTATATTTTTGTGCAGTGTACCAGTGCTAGGAGTGGGGCTATGTTCATTTAACTGCTAAGCTTTATTTCTTTAATCTGCTTTGGGTTTTGCTGAACTCCAGTTCAGTTGAGTTATCATCTGCTACAAATTACATATATAGAGAGATAGCCAACTGGTGAAAAACAAAAAAGACACAGTAGGGATGTTAATCCAGATCAGCCACACTGGTGGCAGAGAGAGAAATGAAAGTCATTTCCCAGGCTGCTCCTAAGCTGGACCATCCAGTTTAGATTTGCTGTGTCCAGTCTAGCTTTCGTTATGAAGCACTCTGTTGAAAGTACAGCATTAGAAATTATAATTGGCTGCCTCCAGGCAATTCCCTAGGTATGCTAGGGAATTGTGTATTGCAGGACTCGATGAAACACAGTTGTTTTATGTGTGAGGAAAGCTCCTAGCTGTTTTGCTGAAATTCAGGTTTGAATTATGCTGGTAGAGAGATGACCTTGGGGTTACTTGTGTTTAGCTTTCATTGTAAACTTAATAGGAAGAGATCAACTGAAGTGCATAGTAGCACTGGAGACATTTAATTCGATATACTGAATTTTTACTCTTCTTATAATTGAAAACTGTCATTTGTAAAGATACTAATCAAATTCAGTGCCAATGACTGATCTAATTATGGACACAGCTCTGCAAAGCCAGCACGTATTCAGATTTGTTTTAATTGATCAGTCACTCATGCTCATTTGCAGTAGCATGCTAAATTACTGCTTTGACTTGGAGGGGGAGTAGAGTGAACTGAACAACTCACGGTTCGTGCAGGTTCCAATTTAATATGCCTTGCAGGGAAATAATAATTCTACATTCTTCTCCTATATAATTTGTATCAGCCTGGTGTTCATCAGCGGGAATTTCTCAGGGCACGGATGATAATTAATTTGGAAAAGCTTTGAGGGAGAGGAGTAAAAAGAGCGGAGTGGGGAAAGCATAGGTAAGCAGCAAATGCCTATTGATGGTGAAAAGCACAAGATACTTGGAAAAAGGCTGCACATTCTGAATTCTGCTTTTTCACCATTTTAGGACTGCACCTTTTATAGGTGTTGCAGGGAACAGGCGTAGGTAAATGAGTGCTGTTGACTCTTGCAGTGCATTAATAGGATTATAAAGAAGGCATGCATCCTGGCTAATAGTACAGCCTAGTGCATGGGTATAATGTGTCTGTCCATTACTTAATGTACTTTCAGTGGTGTTCTTATTGGTGGCACTTCAAAATCGTTGACAAGTCTGTGCTTCCAAAAGTCAAGTCTAGGTGTTAGCTTACTGTGTTGTGTATGTTTCATTTGCAATAGGTGTTATGTATTTGTAATGTTATGTGAGATAAGTCTTAGTTGAAGCCAGCAATGGGGAATAAATTGAGCTGAACTGGATCTATGAGAAAAGGGCTGAAGGTTTGTCACTGCACTGCTTGCAGCATAGAGGGAACACATCTTGTTGTGTTCCCATCAAAAAGCAAAAGCAGTAGCACAGGCACATCACAAACTGGTGTGAAGGTGATTGTGAGGGAAGGCCAAGTCGAGACACTCCAAGAACTGAGGTGACCAGGGCCTTCAGCCTGCTCAGGTTTGGGTGATAGGAGAAGGAGCTTATAAACCACTGTTACGTTACTGACTACAACCTGCCTCCATTCTCCTTGTTTCTAGGCGAGATTAATCAGCAAGTTACTTAGTGCCTCTGTTAATACGTGTTATTGTTTCTGCATGAGACTGTTTTTGATTGTACTGGTTTGGTTTAGCTTTGCCCATGGAATTTCACCTCTATATTTTATGTTCAGTTTCCAACATATGTGCTAGCAGGCCAGCGTATACCATGCAAAGTTGGGGTTTTTTGTGACTTCATTTAATAAGACTGTAGTGTTGTGTTAAACTTTGTAAAAGCCAACAAGTTGTTACACGAATGGATTATATAATCAGCCAATATTTCATTCCTTTCAGGGGTCGAACAGGAAGGATCCGTGTCTTATCTTTCAAAACTGGTGTTGTATCTCTTTGTAAAGCACACCTGGAAGATAAGTATAGATGTAAGTCAACATAATTCCTTGTATTTTTTTAGTTTATATTCTGTTTTCTATTTGTCTTACTTGTTCACTGCAGTTTTGGGTAGTTCAGCACAGTGGTCTCCAGACTTTCTTGATCACTGAGCATGCACTGAACGTATTTATTTATAAATTATATGTACAAGTATGCTACTATATTACATGCATTACAAAGCACAAAAACAGACATTAAAAAAAAAAAAAAAAAAAAAGAGATAAAGATGAAATACACACAGGTTTTATTTAATTTATTAACAGTACAAAACATTTTTCTTACTGTACCTGAAAGGATTTGCACACCCACTGGGGTGCATACATTTCCCTGTGGAGACCACTGGTTTAGCACACCTTCATACACAGAAATGCACAGCTATACACTTGGGTGGAAAAATGTAAATGCTGAAACTTGATGCTTTTGCGTAAAAGGGTGGTAGATGCTTTTGACATGCCACAGTAGAGAGAAAAAATGTGTAAACAGTGAGATGAAAAAGGCAGTAGAAAAGCAGTATTGATCCAAAGGACAGCTTGCATTACAGCACTTTGAAATATGTTACTCTTAAAACTATTTTCCACAGTGTGATCTGAGTCATGCTACATATATTATATTTAAACGTACTTGTTACTTTTAAATAAATATTAAAGGCATGCTGGAATTTTGCATATTATAATAGCTCAAATTGTATAATTCTCAAAAAAGTTCCACTTCACGTTTTAGTTTCAACTGACTAATGAATCAGTTTATTAGTGAGGCAGGGATCCAGAAAAAATCTACTGATAAGGACGTTTTTCAGGAGTTACTTACTGCTTAAATTACATAACACCCATACAAGCTTTGAAAAAGCCTTCTTCAGATTTTGTTCCAGTACCACAGCAGTTCTTCATTAGTAGTTATTAGTTTATTATTCTACTAATCAGGGCTGAAAAAAGCTGAAGTAAAAATAAACAGTCCTAAAACAGTCTGTTGTACAAATCATATATGTGCATGTGTAATTGGATCGGATTATAGGGCAATCACTGTGATTGTCACAGTTTAGATCTTCAGATGTTTTGTGGAGGTTTTCTGGAAAAGTATTCAGAGGATCTTTAAAGAAAAATAATACAGATATTTTTTAAAATGATGTCCCGTTGAGAATTATCAGTTATAAAGTAAAACTTTTGTTCATGTATTATAGTCTCCTGTAGTGTGTAGGCATGGTAATGCATAACCCCCTTTTGATGCTGCAGAACACAGTATTTTATTGATGAGGGTAATTCAGAGCTGAATAGTTTGTGGGAGAGGAAGGAATCATCTCTGCCAGGTTGTGGTCTGGCTTCACCATCCCTGCCAAAGTCATAATGTAGTTGCTGTTAGCATTGCTGCTTTACATGATGAGTTACACCTCTTAAAGATTTTCCAAGGAAAGAGTTTTTAAAAGATTTGCCTGAGGAGGCTGTGGATGCCCATCCCTGGAGGCATTCAAGGCCAGGCTGGATGTGGCTCTGGGCAGCCTGGTCTGGTGGTTGGTGACCCTGCACATAGCAGGAGGATTGAAACCAGGTGATCATTGTGGTCATGGGTGGTTCAATCCAGGCAATTCTATGATTCTATGATTCCAACATTTGTGTAGCAGAGCAGTGTTGGTTCTTAAAGAACAGAATTCTTTTGACTTGCAGAGGTTATGGGGAAGAATTTCTCCCCAAATTATGTGTCATAAAACTAGTCTTGGCAAAAGTGAAATGTGTAATTAAAAAGTAATCTTTCCTCTATCCATTCCTTTATTCTTTTGGAAGAAAATGGCTGTCATTGCTACTCTGGGAAAGTTATCTTGAACAGTGCTGAATCACCTTTGTGACTGTATCTCTCTCTCTTGTCAGGTGATATGTTAAGGCTACAGAAAAAGGATTTCTTTTTTTCTAGTGATTCCTTCCTTGCTTGCTCTTTCCTTCCTATTGTTCTTTCTTTCTCTCTTTCTTTCTTTGAAAAATAAGCAGAACTTATTCAAGTCATGTATTGTCATCTGAGATACAACCAAATAAATATTTCAGCTAATGCTAACCTGATTTTTCTTATTACAAACTCTAAAACATCCTCATAATATACATAGTATAACTAATTCCCGCTAAATTAAATTTGGCTTATGAAAGGATAATTCTATCCTGTAAAGATCATTTTCTAGCGTGATGCAGTAATAGCACATGACTTAAGGTGACATTTCACTTCAAAAATGAGAACTCAGTATGATACTAATGTTCCCAGTGCATGCCAGGTTCTGTCATACTGTGATATTTTTCTTTCATTTTAGAAATATACCTGCATTAAAAGATTATCTTATACTAAAGTTAGGAGTTCTTGTATTTCAGATCAACTCATCTGAAAGATGCTTGGATTCTGAGTTGTACATTTATTTCTAAGAGCTGATTATTTCTAGAACTTTTACACTGTTCTGAATCAAAGGTCCTGATGTTTAGCTGGCTCTATTGCAGAATCACAGCTGCTCTTGTCAGTAATGACACAGGCGCTGTGATAGATTGGCCTTTTTTCACTGGTACAAGTGAATATTGCTACTAAAAATCAACACTTACTTAACAGAAGCAATGTTTGTGAGAAGCAAAGCAGCCAAACTACAGATACATTTGTGTTTGCGTCCATCAAGGCCATTTATCCCTTTTCATCCCTATCCTGTGTTTCCCCATTGTGGTGTTTCAGCTTCGGTGTCCTTTATGTTTTTCCAGACCTGTTCAAGCAGGTGGCGAGCTCCACTGGCTTCTGTGACCAGCGCCGGCTGGGACTACTGCTACACGACTCCATCCAGATCCCTCGACAGCTGGGGGAGGTCGCTTCGTTTGGGGGCAGCAACATCGAGCCAAGTGTCAGAAGCTGCTTCCAGTTTGTAAGTTCATCTTCGATCTCCATTAATGTTCTATTAGATGTCTCCTTTCCAGCTAGCCTTCCCATATTGAAGAGGACAGAACATCTGGAGGATTGAGATACCGAGGATTTGCTTAATGGAATTCACTGGTTTATTTATTTGACAAGTTGTCTATGACTTACACTGCTTCTTTGTAGGCACTGTCTTCACTAGAAATGAGGTGGTGATGGAAGAAGCCTCAGTTAGCACAGAAACATAGAATAGTTTGGATTGGTAAGACTTTAAGGGTCATCTTCTTCCAACTGCCATGTGATGACAGAGACTCCTCCTACTAGAGAAGGTTGCTCAAAACCCCATCTAGTCTCGTTCTTAAAGCTTATGTTGTCATCTGGAGAGCAAGTAATTGTCATCAGGGCCTGTATCATAACTGAATCCTGCAGGCAGTGGAAGTCTTTGCTGTGGCAGTTCCTGCCTTTATAATTTTCTTCTGCCAGCAGATCACCATTTATTTCACCATATAGATGAACAGCATTGGTTAAACTAATTTTTGTGCATATACATGCCAATGGGAGCTGTGTGCTCAGCAGAGGGATGTGAAAACATGACTGACTGAAGTGCTTTCTAGGGCTTGAGGAGCTCCTGATGAGGTTTTTTCGTTGTCTGAATGGGTAATGCAGCTTTTCATCCTAACAGAATTCTGAAAGAATTTCTGCCTCATCCGTTGAGGAGTATATAGCCAACTCCAGGCTCTTTTTCACTCTTGTAAATCATTTAATCTGAGGAGGAAGAGAGTTAGGGGAATTATTCATCTTTTTGCTAACTAACAGGAAAATGCAAAAGAGTAAGACAGCTACTTAATGAAAAGGTAGAAGATGGGAGGTAATGTATGGTCTTTGTGCATCTTCTTCATTACAGTAAAGGAAACAACTTTGTTCAATCCTGTAACTGTCCCTTGGGGATTTTCTTTGGTTGGATGGGGGCAGGGTTTTTTTTTTGCTTGTTACTTTGCCTACTGCTCAAATTTCATTAGGTAGTAGTTCTGCAATTTTTTTTTCAATGAATATTAATAGTTGATAGTAATCTTCTTACAGACAGTGACTACAGATACAATCTAATTCTAAAATGGACAGGAGCTTTGAGTTGTGATGGGATATTCACTTTTTTTTTTTCCAAATTTCTTTTGTCTGATTCTATAGGATTCGTATTTTTTCATTTCCATATTAATACATTTTAGGGCTGTGTTCCAGGTGAATAACTCAAGCTGATTTACTATGCATAGTAGCTTTGACAGGTAGGTTAAATCCTGATATGGCTTTCAAGGCTTCTGAAAAGAGTTCTTCATGAGGCTTTCAGATGAGACCACTGCAGAATGGTGCTGGAGCAAATCCACAATGAAAGTCTGTATGCCAATAGCTGTTTTGAGCAAGTGACCTTCCTAGGAAATTAGGAATTACCACATCTTATCGTTTTCCCAAGAGAATAGTAACTACACTTAAAAAATGGCATTGAAAAACTGATGAAGAAAGTGACCTTGTAATCTAACAAGAAAATGATGCTTTTCTGTAAAAGAGTTGACAATCTGTGTTTATATTAGGAAGAAAACAATACAATTTGTATTGGTGAGACACACAAAAACCATTGTTTATAAAACAGAAGGAAGACTTGGAGTAAATGATTATTTGAATAAAATGGGATAGCAAAATTGTCTTACAACAACTGAAGAAAAGCCAACTGGCTAAATGCAGCATTGCATGTGGTTGCCAGCGTTTCTAGAAGTACAGCTGAACTTCCACATGGACATAAATCAGAATGCTGGAAAACCTGAGATTTTCTCCTCTTACCTCCACTAAAAACAAGTTTTCTTTTATCTGCATTAAAAGGAATTGCATCCTCTTCCTCCTGCAGATGAAGCCTGGGTTTTGACTTGCAGAGTGGAAGGGTGATTTCTGGCCTGGTTTGCAGCAGCAAAGGCAGTCTGCTAAGAAGGCTTGAGAGGGAAAAGAGGGAAAATAGGGGGACAGGTAGAGTCCAAAGGAAAGGAGCATAGGGAGGGAGAAGGAACCAAGAAGTGGAAAAGTAAAGGCCAAGTTGAAGGGCCACCTAATGGGAGTGACAGTAAGAATGACAGCACAAATAATGGTAACGAAGGAGACTGAATGGCAGGTTAGGATGAGACATGAAAAAAGCAGCCAAGAGTAGAAATGGGGAGAGGTGTGACATTTCCAGGAGGAGAGGAGAGGACTGCAGTGAAATGCTTTCTGTGTAGGAGATGCTGTGAAGCAGCTGTGCCTGGAGTAGGGAGCTCCTGAGAGGGAGCAGTGTGGGGGCTAAGTGGCCGAGGAGAGCTGTGCAAGCTGCCTGTGGGGCAGACATCTCAGTCCACAGGGACATGGCCTGCCACCTCTCCTGGCTGCTCCCTCTTTTTGTCTGCTGATACACACTCAGCTTCCTTTGCTGGGAGGGGAAAATGAACACAAGGAAGGTGCAGGCATAGCTTTTCAGGGCTTTCCGCTTCTGGATTTCCTGATCCTGAGCTGTGGTGCTTCAGGAGCTCCTCATATGCATAACCTCATAGCCCTTCTCACACAGCCATCTTCCACCCCTTTCCTTCTTCACTTGAGTGAGATAATTCAGGTTTTAAAAATAGGTTCACATTGCTGTATCTGAACTAATTTAAATCTTTCTCTGCTCATCCACAATGAGGAATGTCTTCTTAGATTTTTAGTCCGATTTTGTTGTTCTGGTGTTGATAAGCTGGCAATAAATTGCAGTCATGTCAGAGTCTGTGGCAGAAATGCACTTCAGAATTCCCTCTGAATTCCTATGCCCGTTGGGTTGGGTGCCGTGGCAACAGCTTCTTCTGGCATAGACAGCAGCAGAGGAGAAGGGGATGTCGGAGGAAAAGGGGATGTTTTCTCTTCAGCCATAGCTGGGGAGACCTCCACATGTTAGGATCTGAAGTTTGAGTCCTTGGGAGCACCTGGGGAGGGCAGGGCAGTCACCAGGCTTTAGAGATGGGGTGCGGTGTATGTTGTGTGATTTTGGAGAAAGTGTTTTTGGTGAGAGCTTGAGTTTGTAAGGACCATTTGAGGAGTATGTATTTCTGCCTGGGTACAGACTGTGTAAGTACTCCATAGATCCGTAACGAAATTGAGGGAGTTCAGTATTACCGTGGGGTGAAAGCACTTGACTTCTAGATCAGTGATGGCTATGTTTGTTAAGTAAGTAGGATAGTGAATTTTTATTGGTTAAGGGACAAAAACATTGTTTTTATCACAGTCTAAATCTATTAAATGATTCCTTGTGAAGCAGAGAGAGAGGGCTAGGTATTCACATCACCACCTTGTGTGCTTTACTGAGACACTGGGAGACAGAAGAAATGTGAGATGAAAACAGAGACAGATGAAAGTGTCCCCTGCTCGATATTTGGTTCTTAGCTCTAAGCCATTGTGTATTTTTTCCAAGGGTGTACTCAAAATAGAGTGCTTTATATAAAAAACTGGTAGAGGTGATGCTAAGGAGCAGTTAATATCTGTATTTCAGACCTTGTTTCTTTTCATTTTGACAGATTAAAGTATTTTAATATTCTGTTGCATAGTCTTAATTTCTGGGTTTGCTTTCAATCAGTGAAGATCAACAGTAGACAGTGAAGTTTTTACAACCACTTAACTGGGTGTCTGAATACAGTGTATTTACTCAGACAAGTAAAAGTCAAAATAGGGGCCCGTTACCTCTTTTAGAAGGAGTTTGTGAAGTCCAAACCCTGGCCAGGACACTGCGAATGGGACACTGCACTGATTTGAATTGGTTGGACAGTTGTTTTATGAGGGCTGCATTTTTTAACTATTCCTGTTTCTATTCATTTATTTTTTTAATATCGAGGAAATATCAGTAACGTGTTCAAACAGCTTTGTATAGTTGTGTGCAGATCTGTATGGAAATAATGGACAGATGCAGTGTTGCTGCTGAGAGACTCAATCTCTTGAGATTCAGACAGCCCTAGTTTCTATTTGTAGGATTTTTCTTCTGCTTTTGGCTCTGACACAGAAGAACTGGCCTACAGGGAACTAGCAAATCTCCTTCCTCAAGCTGGTACACTGTGTCAGAGAACAGCAGTTCTGGTTTTATTTCAGTAGGATTTTGTGAACCTGTGCTTGACTTTGGGAGGCAATCTTGAAGAGTCTTACAAGAGAACTGGTTCAAAGAGTTATTTTAAAGTGATTTAGTTTGAGAGGCAAAGAGTAAGAAGATGATGATTTTTAAGTGTATATGATACAAAGCTGAAACTAAGGCACTTCTGCATTCTTGTTTGGTTTTTTTTGTTGTTTTTTTTTTTTTTTTTTTCTCTATTAGTCTTAACCACAACCCTAAAAACACTGAGTGGAGTGGAGTAAGTGTAATATAAAGGATTAAATAAATGATCTTAAGCATTCACTCCAAGAGTCAGCCAGATTTAAGCATTTTGCATCACCCTATGTTACCTTTGTAATAATCCTCCCTTTGTTGCCTATGAACTAGTTCTAGTCTCAGAAACTATGAGCTCTTGACTTGTGTTTTCTTGCCAGCTGGCAGTGGGGAGAACACAAACATTTTGGGGAAGCTGTTCAAGGGTGGAAGATGAGGTTCAGCGGGGTTTAATCTAACTCTAAGCTCTGGAAGACAGGGCTTCTGTTTATGGCTTGCTCTGCATTTTTAAGCTTTAACAAATCACAGGAATCCCATTCCTCAGTTTGAGTTTGTCCAAAGTAGTAGTTACATTAACGTAAAGCTTTTCATCCTTTATGGAAAATACTATTAAATTAATAACATTAAATTATTTCTGGTTAGTTCCTTGCCCTGCAGCTATGCAGAATATAATTCCTCAAAAATGTTATCAGAAATTGATGCTATGTTATATGACTGTCTGAAAACATACTGCATTTTTCATGTAACATCATGACTCTATTTTGGACCATATTTTTCAATATGCATAGATGAAGTTCATACAGTGCAGGGTAATTTTAAACGTACTAGCTGGAATATAAGAAGGAAATTAAAAAAACTAAAAAAATCTGACTCCTAAGCATTACATAAAGATGCCAACACCGTGCAAACTCTTTGTTTTCCCTTTGTTTCTGCAGAATAAATACTGAAAAACAGATGTGTGGAATATGACGAATTTGAATGTACCCCGTAACAAATTGTTACGTGTAAGCTGGAAAGGGCTTTATGAATTTTATTTTATGATTCACTCTGTTATTACCATAAAAATTGGGAGTTCCACTGAAATGTGTTCAAGAGAAGAACCATTAATATTCTTTACAGCTCACTCTTGTTGGTTCAGATACGTACTGCATGAATTCAGACTTTCCCTTATGTAAAATCGTCAGCTGCCGCCTTTACTGGATTTAGAGATTATTAAAAAAACTGTAATAGCAGCTCAGGGAACAGTTGGGAACTGCCTGTCCTCTACCATCTGACCCTGACCAGCTTTCTCCACATGTCTTTAAATCTTCATGCAGTATGATTTGGAACCAGTTCTGATACATTTTAATGCTCCTAATCTCTCTGAGCCCAAGTTTTGTACATCCGGGGTGTGGAGCCCTGGGTAGGCAACTATTGGGCTTGCTGGCAATCGGCAGTGACTGCAAAATTAAAGAGATCTTTGAAAGTTACAGAAAATCTATCATCACTGCAGCATTTTTTCTCTGCAAATTTAAGGCAACTACAAGTATACAGTAGTGCTTTGAGCTGCTCATTTTTATTCCGTCTGCAGCTTGCATTGCAGCATTTCAACACACTTCATGTTTTCCTATTAGAAATGGAATATTAAAGAGATACCCGTAAAATATTAGAGATTTAGAGGACCCTTGCGTTTTAAGTGTAGCTTGCCAGGCAGAGGAAAGATTTGCCAGTGTGGTTCTGGTGGATGCTGACTTGCTGAATGAGCTGCAGAAAATCACTCCCCTGCCCCTTTGTTTCTGTAGCTGCCAACTGGAAGCAGGCATATAAATCATTATATTTCATGAATACCTCTTTCTCTTAAGAGACTTCTAGAACTAATTTTATTTTCTTGAATTCATTGATGTCCTTCGGTGGAAAGTGGTATTCACTCCTCTGACAAAATTCTGTTGCCACTGTTACCTGGATTTCACTGTACTGTTTTGTTTTTCTCTGTTTTTGATGCTGGGGTTTTTTTGGGAAGAACATTGAGGGACTTTGCCTGAATAACTGTAGATATGTTGGCATGCCAGTAAGAAAACCCTGACAATATATATGTATATATTTCTAATTAAAATATTGCAGCAGCATTTTAAGTCTATGAATGCAGTCCGTTATTCAGGAGACAGTCTATGTTTTTTCATTTTTTTCTTGTTTTCAGGAGTTTGGTCCTTGAGACTTAGCATTTTTCTCATTCTGAAAGTATTGATCAGTTAATTGATTTGTAAAGACTACAAACAGTGTTAACTTTAAAAAAAAAATAAATGCACAAAAAAAAAAAACAAACCTTAATTGATTTTTCTTATAGCTTTCTTCTGTTTAGATCTGCAGCGTAAAATTTTCCCAAACTTCGTTGTTATAATTGTTCTTCAGTTGAACAAAACCTGAAGGTTTCAGATAGGTCATACTAAGGTCATATTTCATGAGAAATTGTAAAAGTAACAGAACAAGCATTAAAAAGAAAACAACTCTCAATCCCCTGTTCACTGTGGTCCACGTACACGATACATTAATGCTTACTGTTTATTGAAGTGCTTCAAATAGATTTGAAACCACAAATTAAGTCTTTGCCCTGTGAAACTTAAAATCTAAAGGATTGGATCACAAAAGACTGTGTTTAAATGCCCAGAGGAAAAAAAAAAAAAAAAGGAATCCGGAAAATTAAAACATATTTAGTTTGTAAATACAGTTTCTGTTGGAAGGATAGAAGGATCTGTCTTGAGGAATTTGAGATGACACCTTAAAGTGGTTTACAGAAATGGAGTGGGATGGTGTCCTACTTCATCACGGTTGCTGTCCTCTGCGTAGGCTCTTCTTCCTCCCTCGTGTCTTCCTGTTGGAGGGAGCCCTTTGCTATTTCCACCTGATCCATCATCTCTTTCAGGGCTGAAACCAGGCTCCTGATTCTCAGATAACAAGTTCTGTGCTTGTTCTGTTCAGTCCTACACAGTGGAGTGAATTTTCCCATAGAAATTCACAGTCATTTCACTGTTTTCTTTTAAATTCCTTCTGAAACTGTTTGACTCTGTTCCTCAGTATTGTCTGTAGCTGTGTGACCTCTGCTTGTGCTGATCTTTTTTGTTCCACTGCTTTGTGTTTCTAGTCTGTTTACAATTCCTTGTTCCATGCTCTATGTGCTGAGAAGAAGGAACTATGCATGGTTTTGGTGTTTGCACAGTGCCAGGTGCTCTGGAAGTCTCTTGTTCCTCAGAGTTACTGTTCAACAGATACATAAAATAATTGCCCTATTAGGATATGATGGGAACAAAACAGAGAAATAGGGCTGCTGCAAGGTTTGAGTGGAGTGTTTTGCTCTTGGCGAAGAGACAAAAGAAGGACGTATTAAAATACAAGACTAAAAGCATCATGTTCTGTGGGACAGAGATGCATTGTGTTTTCAGGCAGTGGCAAGAAACTTAATGTTGATTTGGTGGGAAGAGGGACTGTGAGGCTTTTAAGGAGGTGAAGTTTGTATGTTCAACAGCAGGCTTGAGAAGGACTTCAAATGATTTCCTTGTATATGCATTTTGGAGAAAGATCAGTGTGACAACGAAGAGTGTTAAAGGAATTTTGATAGAAATACATGCAATTTTTAGGGGTTGGATAACACAGTGTTTGTTAAAATGAGGAGTGCTACAGAAGTACAGATAAGAGATAGAGGAGGCACAAGATTATCTTTAATGCCAGGTGTTGTAAGTGGATGATTTTTGTTGTGACAGAGTACATAGCAGTGCTGTCTATTATAAGAGAGAATGAGAGAAAGCGAGATTGGAAACATTAAAAGTGTTTGGTTCCTGTTTTCAGAGCAGTATCCTGAAGGTTGCTTGGTTTTCTGGGGGATGGGTGAACTGAGGGAAAAATTGAACTTGGAGAAAGGATGCAGAGCTTGTAGGAGAACAGTGACTTGAACTGTTAATTAGCTGATGGTACACTAATCACTTCTGCTGAACCCTTGTCTTCCTTCTCTGCTTCAGGCTAATAACAAGCCCGAGATCGAAGCAGCCTTGTTCCTGGACTGGATGAGACTGGAACCACAATCCATGGTGTGGCTGCCCGTGCTGCATAGGGTGGCTGCTGCAGAAACTGCGAAACACCAAGCGAAGTGTAACATCTGCAAGGAGTGCCCCATTATTGGGTTCAGGTACAAACTAATTTCCTCTCTACCTTGTGTACCACTGCTTGATGTATAGGTAGCTCTGCTTGTTCCCAGGCAAGTCATGTCCCTGATTTTCCGTGTGTTGTTGAAGTTAAGGAGGGTTTTGATGGGGCGTGAGGGAGGGTAACACTTAGACTGGGTACAGTGGTGCAAAAGCTGAAGATAACAAAAATCATTTACTGGTTAAGATAACATCCCTCCTCTGTATTCTGCCCTTCGAGTCTTTCTGTGCCTCAGCCACTAACATGATTTGCTTTAGATTCAGTTTCTTATACATGCAGCTTTATTTTCAGAATTGGGTCCTAATGAACTGCTTTCTATCATAGCATAAAGCAAGGAATGACTTGAAATTTTCCAGGCGTAAAGATAGTGTGGATTTTACAGAGAAGGAATGTGGTTAGTGGGATATTAACTAGTATGCTGGACATGTTGCTAATCTGTTTAACCATCTGGATCAACACTGTGGTTACTATAGCAATGAATAAGTCGATGTGTTGTAAAATGGCCGTGTGCTGGTATGCCTGTTGAGAATCCACTTCACAGCTAAGTAAATACTCACTTTCAATTATGCCTAGACTTGTTTTATCACTTCTCTTCCTAATAGCTGCTTTGTATAGTTTCTGTCCTTGTTCCTGATCTTCTTTTACTTTTGGCATTTTTCCTTCCATAGTATCCTGATGTTTACAAAGACCTTTTTATAATTTTAGTTCTAAAACCACGGTGTTGAACAGCAACAAGCAATACCACATAGAAAAGCCACCATTTCACTCTACCATGTGAGAATATGAGTGGGTTTTTTTTACACTTATAGTGGGGTAGCCCTTTCTCCTATACAGTTGTACAGGCAGTGAGAAGCAAGGGAAATAGTTAAAGTTCTGCTTTGTTTTGAGTCTGGGTTTTTCTTCAGTTGAGCCATTTGTCACGTCTTGTAAACTCATCCCCTGCTTTTATTCTTCTTGGTTTTTGAAACTGGAGAATGATAAGTATTACTGAAGAAGAGCCAGGGATGGGTTGTGATGAGTTCAACACAGTCACAAAGAAAAAGCTTCCTATTCCAGAGGCAGTTCATGAAACTACTGAATTACTCTCACAATTTATATAAACAGCTGGAGACAAGTGGATGGAATTGGAAAATACAGCACTTCGAAAATCAAAGAATACCAATTGAATGAATAGTGTGTAGTTAGTTAGCATCAGAAATGTGGAGGGTGGACACTAGAGCTCTGTGTTTCCTGATTTCCCTGATCTCATCTGCCCCTTAAATTTATATAACAATTCTAATACGATAGTCAAATCTGTCAGAGATTTTTTTCTCTGCCTTTGCAAGTCTTTGAGACCCTGTTTACAGACTCGACAAAAAGACATTGTGTTGGACAGCTTTTAGAAAGTTAATACTGTGAGCCTCAGTACAGTGAAACAATGTTCTTTTGAGGTTATTGTGACAGAACTGCTTAGCCTATTTGGAACAAGAAAACCCTTATGCCTCCGGCTCTTTCAAGCACTTCAGCGCAGCGGATACAAGTTAGCTGTCTCATAAAACTGATGAGATTAAATAACGGCCTAAAAGTGCATTCAGATTTTTGCATGGATGGCATTCTATACATAAAAATTATATTTTCACGAAGATGCTGGAGCGTGAACAAATCCTTACCTTCAGTCAGCACTGAAGGGCTTGCTGATGGTACATGTTGAGCAAGGCATTACTTCTGTGAACTCTATTTGCTTAAGAAATTCTGTGTTTTGTGTCATGTCGCAGACCAAAGGGACTGAAATTAGCATTATAGAAACAAAGATCTTGGTGCTCTGTTTTGTGAGAGAGCGATTTGTAGTTAGAACTCTTCAGCATTGCCCACTGTTAGAAATTTTGTGACACAGAGGGATTCTTTTTGAAAATTCTTTGCTAAGCATGTCCACTTTGTTGGTTTTAGGCAGCAATCCTGCCCCTCAAACAGGCCCTGTCCTGTAATGTGCGCTGTGGGACATCTCAGGGAAAAGCACCTAATAACTTAGAAAGCTCCAAAGGCTGACATGAAGTATTCATATACTAAGCACTGAAGCCGTGTTTTTTTCCCCCTCTTTTAGGTACAGAAGCTTAAAGCACTTTAACTATGACATCTGCCAAAGTTGCTTCTTCTCTGGCCGTGTTGCAAAAGGTCACAAAATGCACTATCCCATGGTGGAATACTGCACACCAGTAAGTAACTGTTTTACTGACCCTTTTACTGACCCTTACTGCTCATGGTTAAGTAGAAAGGAAAAGCTTCATTTGCTGTGTTCAGGGTAATAGAGCATTTGGGTGGTGTTTTCCCCCTATAATGAAATTGCCTTCTGTAATCTGTACATTGCAACAGTTTCTAATGCTTAATAGAGTCCAATAGTTGGAGGTAAATTGAAGTATCATTGTTTGTACAGTGCTCTATAGTAGTATGTTATTGCATGCTGATGAGCTGCTCCATGTTCAGTGCCATCCATGTATGTATTAAGAAGGCTGTGGTTTGCACAAGCGTGTTTCTGTCTTAATCATAATGTTTTCTTCCTATCCCTGTGCTTCTTTTCCTTTCCCCAGGAGGTTCGTACTTGTTTTTCCGACGACACTACAACTGCATCTTTAAATTCTTCACTATTTAGTAGTACTTTTTTATTTTATATTGACTGGAGAATACAACATATCAGGGAAGTTTTTTAGAGTAGCAAATGAGGTTTCATTTCCGAAGACTGGAAGTGCTGTTCAGTGCAGAACAGAGTCATAGAATCACAGAATAGCTCAGGTTGAAAAAGACCTTAAAGATCATGGAGTCCAACCACAACCTGACCATACTACCCTAACTCTAACAACCCTCCGCTAAATCATGTCCTTGAGCACCACATCCAAGTGGTTTTTAAACACATCCGGGGATGGTGACTCAACCACCTCCCTGGGGAGCCCATTCCAGTGCTTAACAGCCCTTTCTGTAAAGGAGTTTTTCTGCCTTCCCTTATGCAAAAGCATCACTTTTGCATAAATGTTTCTTTCGTTCAAAGCAGCTGGTAAAGAAAACTCACATGACCCTGGCAGAGGGCCATAAATTAGAGGAGCTCTCAGGCTGTCCTTTCACAGTACAGCATACCTGAACTGTCAGCTGTCTTTGCTATTGTGTGTGGTAATCCTGAAGCATTCCAAATTATGGATTCTTTTCCTAATGTTATAGGATAGTCATTAATCTTGTACTTTTGTCAAGTGTAAATGGTGAAAATAAAGCATTAAAATTAAGTATAGGCTAGCTATGTGAACAATTTTTACATCTTAAATCAAACAAAAAGGCTTTGCCAAAATGAAGCAGACTTTTAGCTTTTCTTAGGAAGTGAGGAAAGACAGAGAAGAAATTTTCACCTAAAATATCGTAGTAGAGCAAATACAGTACTTCAATTTAGTTTTAATTTATGGGTGTTTTACATTATAAACTTTTACCAAAGCATTCAAACGGCACAATTTAATCCACATGTCTACAAGGGGAAACCAGCGTGTTTCTGCTCACTTTTCATCAGCATTCACTGGCTGATGCTTCTCAACATCTTTCCCTGTGGGTTGAACTTAATGGGAGGGGGTGATTTGCCTGAGCTGCTGCACAGGTCGGAGGGAAACCTTAGCAATGGTGAGACGAGTCTGAACAGACCTCTCCACGTCAGGTGTTCCTGCAGCAGAACTGCCCACAGCACTCCTTCCAGTTGAGCTGAGTGCATTCTTGCTGAGTCAGCTGCTGGTTTGTTCTGTGGTTTGCCACTCTTATTCTTGTTAAGAAGCAATGTGGAAGATCGTGAGGAGTTCAGGGAATGCACAGAACAACATCTCACTGCTATTTTCTTACCTGTTCATAAGGTGTGTTTCTAGGAAGGTGTGAATAGAGAGAAATGAAATGGCGTGGTGAGACGCTCCCACAGCCTGAAGCAATTCACTGCAACACAGACAGCATCCAGCAGGTTCCTCTTCTCCCTGACAGTGGAGGTTACTGACAGGCCTAAGGAGAACTTGTAACAGCATCCAGATTGCTGAATCAGAATAAAGAAGCATTTAAAGACAGTAAATTTTTTGGTGAGTTCTGAACTCTGACAGCCAGTGCTAATGTGCCGTGCCTGCCTGTACCAGCAGTGAGCTGAATTAGAGTAGAATTAACTGGGGCAAAAAAGTGAATGTGACACACAGTAAGCACTGATCTTTTTTGTGCTGCAGCTATTGAAAAAGTAAACCTAAGTACTGCATGACTGAACAAGATATCCACTGAAACTATCATGTCTAGTGTAACTGTTTTCAAAATGAAATGAAAAGAGTTTTGCGGATGACAAAGCACTTTTTCCCCTTCCTTCAGACAGATCTCTCACCTCAGATTGCACTTTTGCAGAGAACTTCCAGGAAATTTTGGAGCACAGCAGCCCTTAGTTCTCCTGGAGGGGAATTTGAGAACTCATGTAGAATGTCCAGGTTCTCCCTTACTGGAAAAGGTTGAGGCAGATTGAGGCAAAGGCCTTAGTTTTCTTTTAGGCAGAAGAACTGCAACAATTAGTCCTGTAAGCAACACAGCTGGATGTCTTGTTCAGAGAGAGGTGACTTTTAAAAAGGTTTCAAATAAATAATGTGAAGAAGCATTCTTCAAGACTGAGATTTAAATGTAGGATCGTATTTCTTTTTGGGATCAACACCTGCACACACAAAAAAATTGCCTTGATAGAATTAAGCATATCAAATTGAGATAATTTTCTACAGCTAATGTTTAAAATTGGGGCTGAGGTCTGGAGTGAGGGGTTGGGAAGACACTTTATTAAACCAAAGTGCAAAAAGTAAGATGGTTGTAAGTTCTGCTTTTGTGAAGAAATAGTTTTTGTTTTGGAATAATTTTGCAACATGCTAGACCCAGCTGCCTGTATACTGCTTTGATTTAAGAGAAATAGGGTGCTAAAAGTAACAGACAGAAAATTCCACGGTTTCTTCTTTGTAAACCCATTCTGCTGTGAATTTGGTTTTCCATTCTGAAAATTGTGTGGTATAAAACTTCTATGGAATAAATCAGGAAGTCTGGGTGAAAATAGCTTCAGTCTATCAGCTTGTTCATGTGGTAATCATATTTTTTTTTGCTATTCCTGTGCTCCTTGAACATTTTCGACATTGAAACTGGATCATAGGAGAGATGCCTGGTATTTCAAGTTGTCACTGAAAGATGTGCTTTCTTCTTGGGATGTGTGTGATACCAGCTTTCAGACTAGATCAGAATTTTTCCATGCAAACACACTATTCTGCTGCTTGGCTGTCATGTGATGAGTTCAGGAGAGATAACATGTCTCAGGAAGGTTGAAGCAAAGAATGTTTCATTACTCGTTGTGCATAAAAACACAATCAAATTAGAATCAAATGCAGTTGAAAGTATACACATCGAAAATATACGCTAAAAATAGGCAAAGCAGGAATAAATGTTTATAAATGATACAAGTCAGCAAAAGGAACAGAAAGCTGTGCTTAATTTGTTTGTACCAAGACTAGATATCAGAAGAATTCCCAGCTGAATTTCTCTAACTGGTCTCACGATGCTTACCTCGTTAAGGATTCTCACTGTAGGATTGCAGCTTGTGTTCAGGAGAGGGAATTCCCTCCTACTGCAGGCCACATCAGTAAATGCCCTTTCCAGAGTCCTCTGACTGGTCTAGATGTACTTAATCTCTCCCTTTCTTTAATTCAAGTTTATTGAAATACTGCTGAGTGTTATCATAGTTTCTTGGAAATACAAATGCTGGTGTACTGGCTTGTCAGTTCTGATGTATTATTTCTCTGCCAGTCATTGATCACACTGAATTTTCATACAAGATTGTTTGGAAAGAGAGTCAAATTCTTTCCTGCTTTACATGAAGCTTGTAGGTATCTTCAGGATGGGAAGAACATTCCTTTCTGTTACTGCATCTCAGTCTTTCTGCAAATCATTTTTTAGAGCATGCTTAATTTTTCTACCTGAGCAATCATTAAAAATACATACATCTGTGTATCAGCAGCTTCACAAAAGTGGGCTTGACTGATGGATTCCAGCGCCTCCTTCCTTTCTGAAATGGAAGGCATAGAACTCATTAAAAAATGTCAGAAAGATTAACTTTCCCTCATTTCTTTCCTTCAAATTAGATACACTGGAGAAGTGATATCGTTATGTGGGTCAGGATGAACTTAATTTACTGTAGAAAAGCAGTATTTCAGGGTCAAGCTTCTCTGTGAGGTGTAAAGATGGAGTGCAGCCTGACTAATGTAACTGAAGTCTTCCATTAAAATTCTTCAGAAAATTGTCTGACTCTTAATCAGGCTTGCAAGAAGTGTTACATCTTTGCAGCAGACATGCTTTGAACTCTTTCTGACTCATTCTGGTCTTCAGGAAACTAATTGCACTTCGTCTCCTCTGTTGGTGTCTGTAGGAGAAAGGAGGTTGAGTGCAGGCAATGGAGTAGAAAACTTTCTGTAAATTATACTCTCCTCAGGTTATCAGTCTTAAATGCCTCTTAGCTTAAGATTTAACAGATGCAAGAAGAAGTAACTGATGTAAGAGTTTCAGCAGCTCTCACCTGCTTCTTGTTTTTCTTTGATAAAAATATTAATGGCAGAAAAGATTGAGGAGGAAAACTGCAAAGAAGAGGTGCCAGGAGTATTGCCCTGGCTTTCATGGACCAACAGATGCAGGAGATGGAAGCAGTGAGCATACGGGAGGAGTCAGGATTCAGCCAGTCAGACAGGTGGCAGCTCCCACCGACCAACCATGTGCCCTCTGTTGCACTCGTTGCAGTGCTGCGCAAGAAATAGGTGGAGAGTCCCAGGCCACATGAGGAAATTCTCATTTAATTACTTTTTGTCCTCTTTAGATGAACTGAGAAGAGGCATGAGTCTGTTATGGGTTATGGAGCTTCCCTTTCCTTCTTTCTCCCCTCTAGCTGTGCTGTTTTATAGTACATTTTGATGTGATTGATAAATAAATTGTGTGGTTCTGGAGGCAAAGTCATTGGCAACTCTGCTTGGTGTGGCCACAGCTCCTTCGTATGGCGCAGCAAAGAAAGGGGCAACTAAAAGTAAATACCTGTCATGAAAGATGATTTCATTGTGATTTGTGGCTTTCAGACAACTTCTGGAGAAGATGTCCGTGACTTTGCCAAGGTACTAAAAAACAAATTTCGAACAAAAAGATATTTTGCAAAGCACCCACGAATGGGCTACCTGCCTGTGCAAACTGTCTTGGAGGGAGACAACATGGAAACGTGAGTAGCTATAAAGTTTCTAAGTAGCAATGTATTTGGTATGCTCTTTGAGCTTCCCAGCTGGTGCCAACTCCCTTCACTTCCTACATGCATAAAGCCTCATTCTTTCTTTCATTTTTTGTTAACCATGGCTGGCAGGAAAACACAAGCTGGAGTTCCAATTGCCGTTCCTATTATATGTTTGTGTACCTGTCCTTACAGGAACTTCCACTTCAGTCAGTAAAAAAAAATAAATGCTGTCTGACAGCCTTATAAACATTTAGTTTTGATATGGCACCTCGGAAACTAATGATCTCTTCATCAAATTTTTATTTCCTTCCAATACGTATTTTTCTGTATTTTTTTTTTATTTAGTTTGCTATGTTTGCAAACTTTTCAACTGGCTTCTACTTTTCTCACTGCATAAATTTAGTCTTATTAAATGACTTTGAAGTCAGTTTTTGGAGGAAAAAAGAGCAATAATACATATGGAAAAACTGATGAGTAACCCACTCCCCCTTGTTAGATTTTTTTTGTTTGTTTGTTTATTTGGTTGTTTTGTTTTGGTTTTTTGTAAGATAATGGCAATTGCACACAGCTTGTCCTCGCTCTCTCTTTTTTAATTTTAGATATTTTGTTTCTCTTTTTGGTTCTTTGCTCTCCATGGTCATTCATGTTGGTCTATTGGATTTCTGTTTTTCAGTTGTTGTGATTTTATTTTTTTTTTAATCTTTCTGTAATTATTTTGCTGCTGAGTTTCTTCTGCCTCTCTCTTCACCTCCTCATTTTTTGTCTTGCAGTCCTGTTACTCTGATCAACTTCTGGCCAGTAGATTCTGCGTGAGTACTTTTGCTGAAGTGTGCTGCTGCTGCTACTGCTGCTGCGTTCCCTCACTTTTTTGTTTATTTCTTTGTTTAGTTTTGCATAAGTTCATTTCCTTCTTTCTTTATGATAATTTTCTTTGGTACACTCTCTAAAGGAATGTTTTGATCCCAGATGAGGAGAATGGGATAAATCCAGGAACTTCCAGCAATCATGAAATGTGTTCTGTATACTCTTCCTGGAGTATGTATTTTCATGGAATTAACAGGGATTTTGGTACACTCTTACTGATGCTTATAAGAGTTTGTCATTTAAAAGGCTGTGTTTCTGAATGTGTCAATCCCTCTATGTGTATACAAAATGCTTTTTGACAGATATGAATTGAATGGATTTAATTCAATTTCAGGAATGATACTGTTTTGTAGATAAAGCTATAATCTGGCTTTATGCACAACCATGCACACCTGCATACTCACATGCCCAAATTAATCCAAAACTCACTGGACATTTTACTACAGTTTTTTTACATGCGGTTTGTGAAGGCAGGTTGAAATGTTTACTGTATATTTTTTCAGAAGTTAAAAAAAAGCAGGGTTTTTCAGATATGGATTGGATTTTTGTTCTTGCATCATTCTTGCACATGCATCATCTTACTGTTGTAGTAACACCCTTCTCGTAAACTGAAGATATATCTTTACCGTTGTGGCATTTGCTGCTACTAGTGTTACATGGATGATTTCAGAACAATGTTAAATAAGGTTTATTTTTAATTCACATATTGATAATGAGACTAATAAATAGAATTTTATATATTTCCATATGGTGAAATGTATATGGCTTGCACCTTCATTGAATTTTTGGTAGAATAAACAAGAGTGAAATGAATACATTGGAATATTGATGTATAGTTTTCATTTGGAGCACAGACCATTGGGAAGTCAAATGCAGTGCTCATCCTCTAGGAATTTTATTTTGTGTAAGCAAGAAATGTATATTTCTGCAAACCACATATGGTTAAGGATCCACCCACAAAACTGCCAGAGGGCTGAATTGAGACTGAAATAGTGTGGCTTTGAACTTTAAGGGTGCATTTGCATTTATAAATGCATATGGGGTGATTGCAGCATACTGTGTATAAAACTCTGTCTGTAGGTTCCTTACCCTTTGGAACAATTGAAAAGGTAGAAGTAACCTCTTAAAGAATGCTTGGATAGTGTGGAATGCCATTGCTGTGTCTGACATAACATGAAATTAAGCTGCCATAACGTGCTTATTTGTAAGGCACACTGCCACTAGTTCACTCACAGTAATAACTTCACGTATGCCTACGCTGTGATAACATCACACCTAAGATTTACTGTTGATTACTACAGGGACCTTAATGTGCATGTAATATTTAAGAAAGCTTGGGAAATACGTAGAGACATGATTTGGATGGAGAGAGACCTAGCAACTTTTATCAGATCAACTCAGATGTCTTCCTGAAAACAGTCCTTTTTTCTGGTCTGACAAGAAACCAGGAAATTAAAAAAAAAAAAAAAAAAAAAAAAAAAAGGCTGGAAAGAGTTGCTGTTTGTTCTGCTAGCTTTGGTTCTTTCTTCAGTGCTAGACCACTGGGGTCACAGCATAAGTTACTGAACTAGCCAGCTTTAAAGCTATTTTTTCAGTTACAGGGCTCATTGCAGCTTTGGCAGGCAGACATCCTACTCTGGTTTTCATTGCCTTTTTTTGGTATTCTCATACCAGTTTTTTGGTTGTCTTCGGAGCGCTGCAGAAAAGCATAACCTGACCAAGATTCAAAAGCACTGTATCTATTATATAGCATATATATCTATATGCTATTCGGGCATCAACATATGTTTTGATATCTGAATTTGTTTATAAGCATGTACATGCATATCTATGTGTGTTCATACAAGTAAGTGATTTAGGTCACTTATTATCCCATATGTATTCTGCTTGCCCAGCAATAAAGGGGCAGCTTACAGCTTTTCATGAGAATTTATGTCTTTTTACTTGGATTGGGGACTGTTAGTGGCACAAAAACAATTTACTTGATTCTGCACTTTCAAGAGCCATTAACTGCAGTGCTGGATAGCACAAAAAATGCCCTCCTCCTGTCGGCCACATTTCCACAAGTGCAGGGAATTGCAGGACGGGGTGTTTACTGCTCGATTACCACTTGACGTGAATGGAATTCCTCAGTCTATTGCTGCAGACACCAGCTTGAGAAATACAGCTGTGGAGCCCTTGTAAAAGGAATGACTATCTTGGTTAAATATTGGCTGTGTTTCTCGACCTTCTCACTGAATGTTCAGACTGATTACATGAGCTGATTACATGTGTTCAGAAGGTAAGGCCAGTGAGCGCTTGCACAGATGGTCATCTAAAGTGTGTCTGCAATAGTCTTCAGTGCAGCACAGCTATCAGCTATTCACAGGCCGGCTCAGGTACTGGAAACAGTGTCCCTCTGAGCTGCTAAATTTAACATGAAAACTGCAGTGCTTCCCAGCAGGTTTGCTTTAATAAGCAAACTTTTTAAAATCTGAGTGGGGTAGATTTTCATTGCAGTGTGTTCTAAAGTGGAGGCGAACTTGGAAATGTAGACTTATCCCATGCCTACAAAGTTTGCAGAGGGGCATAGAAAACTCCAACACGTTACACTGGGCTGTCTTTAAGAAAAATGCATATTGCACACTTTGTTCACTTCTGAATGTAAAGCTTAGTTTTGAAGCAGCAAGTATGCAGTTACGCAGTCAAGCAAAGCTTTTACCTTGTGCTACTGCCAAAAGACAGACACATCATTTCTGTTCCTCCACTGCCCAGTTGGTCCCAGCCAAGTGCTGCCATCTTCCTTTACTGGTACGAAACTGTGGAGTCATGTAGTAAAAAGGGACCAGAGAATGATGCAGTTCAAAACTGAAGCTCCTTCTAATACAAGTTTCCTAATCCACGAACAGTACTAACAGCAGCATTTGTGCATGCACTGTAAACAAAACCTCTTCTTTCATCGTTAGTACCAGCTTAGGTCAGCTGGATATGTACTGCCTGTCAGACAAAAAATGAAGATCGCATCAGTTTGTCAGAAAATAGTTAATATTTTAGCTTGGTGATCCACATGTTCTTGAGAATACTATGCAAAGTTGCAGGCAGGTGGTTGTCCATCTGCATGAGTCTCTGCTGTACCAAGAAATGCTGAACTGTTATTTGAATATGTAGTGGGAAAAATTACATTTGGAGGCCAAAGCTCATTTCAGATAAAATGAGATTCACAATGCTTGACCTGTAATGTCTTAAAGAGAAAAGCCTTGCCCTTCTTTGAGGCATTGGCTGTTTTGTATGGTGCATATCATTCTATTAATTCTGAAAGGTCCTAATATTTCTAAAGCCTTTTGCAGACTGTTCATGAAACTGGAAAATGACCAGTGAAGTATAATAATCACTTAGCACTTTTACTGCAGGATGATCAAGCTCCTAGCACAGAAGCATTAAGCACCATGAGATTATTAGTTCTGGTTTATAACTGGTAAATACAAAACAGATTTTGTCTGCACTTGAGATGTAGAGTTCTGCCAGTTGAGCAGAACCAGCCCAACCCACACTGTGCAGCAACTTGACATGAAGGGAAGACATTTCATTGATCAGGAATTCTAAAAGGAATTGCAAGAGATGGAAATTCAGATTCAGCTAAAATAAGGGGTTACTGTAATATCTGGAAAGCTGCATCATGTTTTGTTGTTTGTGTACCTCCTGCTACATGCAGATAGGCAAAATCCCACATGTCAGTCAGAGTGCTTCCTGCAAGCACATCTGTTCCTGAAGTGCTGAGGTGACATTGTCCTGACCAAGATGTTCTCCAGGATCGAGACTGGACGAAACTCATCACTTTCAGCAGTCTGTTATTAAATGCTCGTTTCAGCCATTTAATGTTTCTGGCTGCTGATGGAGTAGCTCTTGCAGGCTTTTCTAGGTGGAACGTGCCTCCACTATGTTAGGGACGTGGCGTGGGCAGCGGGGAGGCAGAGGAAGGGCTCCCAGCGACAACTGACAGCACTGCCTTCAGAGCAGGCCAGGCGCAATTTCACATGGAGGAGAAGGCAGATGTAAGGGCAGAATGGGAGCAAGGCCTCATCTGCACATCCTCTGGAAAATGATTTTTTGGGGGTTTGTGTGAGGAGGAGTCTGCAACAGATGGATTGCCAAAGGGTGAAAGTGCTGTGCGCGGTACCACAAAACACGGCGTGCCTGCTTGAGGAGGTGCCCGCCGTGCGTGGTCGCAGTTACAACATGCTGTTTGTCAAACGCAGTGTAAGCGTAAGGCATAGAGGTGTGAGGGCATAGACGGAGCTAAGTGTCTTTTTACTTTTAAGGGGGTATTGTTTGTGATTAATCAGTGTTTTCTGCCTTATAGGCCTGCCTCGTCCCCTCAGCTTTCACACGATGATACTCATTCACGCATTGAACATTATGCTAGCAGGTATGAGACCAGCTGGACGTTAGGCAGATCTTTCTCTAAACAATCATTTAAAAAATTCCAAAGGCTGCGTGCTGCCTGAGTGGGTCTTACAGAAACGTAGAGTCTGGGGGTTTCTTCTCCAGGCTCTGGGATGCAGGGTATAACTCATTTTTGCTACTAACCAGCCTCCCACTAACTTGCATGCCAGCGCGTGTGTGTGCTTAGAAATGGCCCTGGGGGGGGTCTTTGTTAAGCTGCACCCTCAGTTTGCACAGGGTTTAATTACTCTGGTGTAATCATACAATTCAGAAGAGCAGAAGTCTCCAAACTTTACAGCAATCTCAACTGCCATTTTAATGTTAAGTAATTCACCACATGGATTACCACAAACAGGATCTTTCCTTGGTTTGGAGGATAAAAATCATTGGTATATCACTGCTTCAGTTCTCTTCTCCACTTTCATACAGCTCTTAACGACGACAAAGTGGGTTAATTGCACAGATAGGAAAAATAACATGCTTCTCCACTGAGGAAGCAAATTTGCAAGGTTTGAGATAACGAATGTTACTGCAACCTCCTCATTCTGTCCCCCAAAATCATTTGATAATATGATAATTCTTGGAATTATGCAGTATGTTTAGGAGGGACTAGCTGTTGAAAACCAACGAGAAATGACTAATCATTTCAGTTCTGATGATGGCGTTGCCAGGTATGGAACAATTTGTGTAGTCCCCTGGCACTTTAAGGCCTTTCTGTTCCTGTGGAATTAATTAGTCATGAGTTGAATAAAATCTCAGATAAAGACTTGAAAATCTGAAGAGATGAAAAGTGAATTTAGCCAGGCCATTGTAATGAAAAAGCAATTATTCATGATAGCTAATTGCAAAACCTTTTGATAATCAACAGAGAGTATAAATTCTTCTGGGTTTCAAATTCTATAAGTCATCAAAAACATCACACTCTTTAACTCTTTCAGGAATGTTAAAGCAAACAAGGTTTATGGGAAATATAATTTATTTTAATGAGTCTGTTTGTTTTTCCACAGGCTAGCAGAAATGGAGAACACCAATGGTTCTTACCTAAATGACAGTATTTCACCTAATGAGAGCATGTAAGTAGGTCATTTTAGTATTTTTGACATGAATTTTCTTGTGAAGGTTAATAACTAGTAATGAAACTCTGCAATACTCTGCACCACACCCAGTTCCATTTCATGATGAACTCTTGTTCTTTCAATTTGTACAGTAGTGTCTGGATTTATGGCTTTAATACTGAATTTATGCAACAGATGATTAATGCTTCCAAAATAAAGTAACTGATTTTTCTCAAAAAAATATTCAGTAAATACTTCCCAAATTACTTGGAAAAAAATTGTACATCATCTAATGTGTTCTAAGGAAAAAAATAAAAAGTTATCCCTTTTGTCTGAACTGCAGTTAATAGTGTTAAATTACTGAGAGGGCAGAATGTAAATCAAAAGTCTGTTGAGGCTGTGCAGAAAAATTTGACCTGTCAATAGCAGAAATATATTACAGGTGTAAACCATGAGGGAATCATCCTCACCATAATATATTTGAAGTAGTAACCTTTCAGTTAGACATATCATTAGCAAGCACTTGGTTTTACTAATTTAAATGTAAAGACATATAAAATTTAAGGAACGTAGTCTGAAACTTTTAAAGAATGGTTCAGTGTGACATCATACTGAGACCTTTTTGTGGTTTACAAACATGATTTGTCATGGTTTTCTTGATTTCATTTGCTCTCTGAATGAAGTGGCATAGAACCAGAAAACGAACTGTGAGTAGTATGATTGAACACAGGAGAGAAGTACAGAAGTCACTGTGGTGCTTGAAAATTAGGTCTTAGTTAATTGACTGTGTAGAAGTCATGCCACAAATTCCAAATCATTCAAATATTTTTTTAAAAATCTGTTTTTCTGCACTAATCTCATGCTTCCCCCAGCTTGAGGATTTCTCTGAAAATTCAGACAGAATCTTCTTAATAAGCAAGAGTTCCTTTAAAGCATTGTACTGCCAATTTTCATTCATAAATTCAGAGTCCAAATCACTTGTAAGGATGTTTGTGAGCCAGTGAAGTGTTCACAGATAGTAATAAAAAAGCTTGTTTCTGTGTTTTGAAATGCTTTCTCTTTTAGCTTGGTAGGATTGCTGCCAACTAACTTTGAAAGGAGATTGTGTGTACAGCCAAATACGTTGTCTGTACATGGGTTTTACAGTGTTGGTTCCCAGAGCAGGAAGTTAAACTGACGCGTGAAAACTAGCACCTACACAGTGTCAGGGCAGTTTCAATCAGTTAATGAGAACTTTGTTTCCCAAACTGAATGTCACTTTTGAATTGTTGCCATCATATTATTACATATTTTCCTGTTATTGTCATTAAAATATTTCAGTGCCTGTAGTCAGAAAATCATACATAAGCTGTATTGTTTTAATTACAGCTTCGTCTCACTGATGAGTTCATTCTTTAGCTAATAAAAGCTGTATTAATGTGATTAAGTTAATAACATAACCACTGATTATCCAGCCTCTTCATTACTTGTTTGTACTGTAAAAGTTAGAATAAATATCCTGTGTTTTAGAAGAAATAAGAGCCAGATTTAAATTGCAGTAAAATTAAAGCTCACTGTAAATTCAGAAGTGTGGGTGAGTTTTGTTTGATGCCCTGTAGATCTTATTTGCTGATGTTCTCATGGTGTTTGGCTTAAAATTACAGTTAGAACGCCATAAATATGGACATGTGGTTGGGGGGAAAAAGAGAAAATGCCGGTATATACAGGTACAAAATATTTCAATGTGTGTTGCCATCATAGTTATATACATAAACACACACAGGTTAAAGATCACACAGGACAGTGTCTTGGGAAATGGCATTATGCTGCAACATTTTTCACTGTTATTTTGCTTAAGCTGCTTACAAATTCAGAAATAGACAAGCCTTTAAAATTTTGTTTAAAAAGAAGAAATTATGCTTGTGAAAAATTTAGTATTTCTCATTTATGAACTAATAGCAATGTTCTCTGCACTGGTTTAACACTCCTGCAGTCTATAAAATGGCATCATTAACATTTTCAGTAATAAAATGCAACAAGAAATATTCTGAATTTTGAGCCATAACAGCTATTCCAAATGTCAGTTAAATTCTAAATTACAAAGGTAACAAGAAAAAGATAAAGCTAGACTGAAATACTTTGTTGTAACTATTACCATAAAAGCAAGATTCACAATAGCTCTGTAGTTTTTTTCTGTGATTGGCTGGAGGTGTTGCTATCTGTCATGGCTTCTGCTACTGCTGGTTACTGCTGGTGTTAGCTGTATAGCCTAGGGCCTGTATGCCATTCCTTAGAGCCTGAAAAATACATCCATTTAATTTTTTGAGATAGTTAAGGTCTTCAGAACTCAGTTTGCTTTTTTTCTCCCAGAGAGTCTCTGTTTCAATTGCCTGATAGTTTCAGGGGCAATAAAATAAAGCAGTTGTTCACTTATATTAAATAGAATATATTTATATTCTGAAAGTGTATATCACTTGTAATTCCAAAAGAAAAAAAAAAAAAAAAGCAACTCCTCAATGAGAAACGGCATAATTTTGTTTTATTATGTCAATATTTCTTTTATTTCACTCCATTTACAAGTTTATAGGGTAAAATAGCTAAGTATTTGGAAGACTTTATTAAATGAGTTGATATAAAATAGATGCCTCTCCTCTTCTTCAATAACCTTTGTGGAACATAGATCAGGCAGGATAAGATTTTTCTCGAGCAGATTTCAAATCTCACTTAGGCAAAAGAGGAAAGCTGTGATTGTCAGCCAAACTATGCTTTAAATATGTGAGAAGCAGAGGGAAAGAGAGGTCAGTTCTACAGAAGGGGAAAATTGGTGTAGACTAAGTTGAACATTTGAGTGGATTTTGTTTTGAGGTATATTGCTCTGCTTTTTACAAAGAGTTCAGTGAATTCCTGTCTAAGAACTGCCTGGTTTATCCTCCTTTGTTTTCCAGCGATGATGAACACTTGTTAATCCAGCACTACTGCCAAAGTCTGAACCAGGAATCCCCCCTGAGCCAGCCCCGAAGCCCTGCCCAGATCTTGATTTCTCTGGAGAGTGAAGAAAGAGGTGAACTGGAGAGAATTCTTGCAGATCTGGAAGAAGAAAATCGGTGGGTTACAGTCAGCTGCAGCAGTGATCGTCTGCACACTAAAGATACGAATGGGAAGAGGGAAAGCTAATAAAATCCTGCAGTTAGAATGTCTTTTAAATTAAATTCATTCTATTAAGTCTACCTAAGCTATTCATGGTTTTCCCTCTGTAAGTGAGATGATGAGGCTGAAAGAGTGTAATTATTAACTCATTCCTATGTTCAGTGCAGTGGTGAGTCAGCACTGAACCTTCAAAATGATGAGCTGCAAACAAATGTATGGGTCACTTAATATCCTTGTGATTATGGTGTCACCTCCAACGAGCTCTGCTAGCTGTGTTTCATAGCATTTCCTTCTGTTCCACTGTTTCCTTTACTTCCACGATAATAATGAGCTTCGTACCAGACTTTGCTGCTAATTGAACAACGGGTGTGCTGGTTTCTGTACTCTACTTTGGAAAAGACAGAGGGAGGTTCATGGACAGACTTGCATTTCTAAGAAAGGATATGTGAAGTTCTGAGAAGACTTCAATTCATTTGAAATAAATAATCTGTGCAATAACTGCTATTCATCTAGATAGAATTCACCCTGTAGCATTTTTAGGGATAAAATAAGTTATAAAGTTGCATTTACTTCAGAGAAAATGAGTGTTTTCACAGTAACTAAAATGTGGATCCATTTTTCTTTCTATTTCTTTGCTCTTATTTTTTGCCATTTCTTCAGCTTTTCAGTACCATATATCATTTAACGCTCCTTCTAATTTGAAGTTTAATTGAAGTTGCTTTCATTAATCAAAAAAAAACCCAAAACAACCCCAAATGATTTCTTGCAGCATCACAACACTGCAGTCCCAATTGTATGGTACACTGGCGCCATATGCCATCAGCATAAAAAAACTGGTAGATCTTGATATATTGATAGATTAATAGTTGCAACCAAGAACTTCTAAAATCAAAATGTAACATAGAAATTATTAGATCTACAGAAAGCACATTTTGTTTGCCTTCTTTTGTCTTCAGCTTTTACGGTATAGGATACCATATAGGATGGCATTTTCATGCTCCTTTTTCTTGTTTCTGCAAGAGCTAGATACTTTTGTCTTGTTTATGTTGAGGGTGTAATGCAGTAATCATTTACCTTAGGAATGTCAAGGAAATAACTGCAAGAGTTGGCAGTGCTATAGATCTTTTCTCCATGCAGAAGTCTCCTTTTGATGCTAGTAATCAATTATACTGCCTCCATCACCCCATCATCTCTATAAGACTGTGGCTGGGACTTGTTCACAGAGAGCATAGCCCGGACTTGCAGAACAACTTGAGTTGATTTTGGCATTTAGAAACCTGAAATAAGCTATCAGTCACCTAGAATAGGAGGAAGATGTAAATCTGCCTTGTGCTTCCTTCTGACTTGCATCAGCTAGTCCCCTGAACATTAGGTCTGTATTTCTGTATAATGCGTTTCAGCCAGGAAAAAAGAGAAGAGCCTCTTGTCCATAAATACCAGTTTTTACTTTCAAGTAGATCTTTCTCAATAAATCTCCAGGGGCAGAAGTAATTAATATTACTAGTAGTTTGTTTCACACAGGTTTTTTTCATTAAAGTTGAAATTTGCTGTAGAGGTTACTTCTAATCCACCGTTATTTTCTCATGCCCTTCTGTGTCCAGCAGTGTTGCACCCTCTCTGAATCAAACTACAGAATCTTCAGGCCACTTCAAGCTTTAGATCAAATTGCTAAGTCTAGCTGTTTTCTGTGAGAAATCAGTAGCAGTGAAAAGACTTGGAGAAATGTTCTATTCTGCCTGAAAAAAAGCTGACATGATGTCTGACAGACCCCTGTCTGAGCCCCACCTCTTCTTGAAAATGCTGACTTCCCTTACTCTGTCCTTTAGTAGCTGCAATGAAGTCAAATTCAGCTTGTCCAGATGTCATTAAAGCTGAGGACAAGACATTGTTTGAAGCTTCTTTCCATCTGTTACTTAAGTGTTCTGCAAAGTTAATAAACAGGAGACTGAGAAATAAAGAGGAGCAGTCAAGAACTTACATTTTTCAGGAGGATTTGGGAGAATGTACAGGATCCTCATCAAGGATGAGGAGCGGGTTTGGGACAGAAAACTGTAGTAAACAAAGCCCTTCTTCAACAAATGGCAGTCAGGTTTTGTTGGAAGCAAACTCCAGGCTAATACACTATACATAAACCCAAGTACTTTCTAATTTGGAGGAGAATCAGTGTTTTAAAATAAGCCATTATACTTCCCATTTTCAGGACTTGTGTAGTTTAGAAGTATTAGGTAATTGATGAAATAGAAATAATAAGATAGCTTAGTTTTCAGGGACATTGCTGTTTCAAACTGCACCAGGTAAGTGATTCATGGAAAAAGAACAAAAATCAGAATGCTCTTCTGTCTGCATTTAAAACACATTGCTCACTTGGAAAGCAGATGACTCTTCAAGGAGCCTAGTTTTAGATTAAAAAATGGGAATGTGGACATTAATGTTACCTTGAGTTACATAACTGAAAGTTGTAAAAAATTCCTTTTGGGAGTGTGTGCCTTAAATTTTAGTATTAACCTTATTTAATATAATAATTACTGATGAGGATTAATACATTCAGAGATAACAGAGGAGAATTGTACTGCAAAAATACCTGTTCTGAGGTTTGGCAATCCAACAAGAGCCACAAAGTATAAGTAGGACTATAGTCTGTATTTTGCATATTTCTGCTATTAGAGGCTTAGTTCCTAGCTGGATGCTGCCACAAGTAGGTTCTGCTTTTATGGATGAGTCGGGTCTAAAAGCAACAGGGACGAAGAGGTCTACTTTTTCAGGGCAATATGGAAATCTCACTGTTGCAATTTTCATTGATCATGACAAAATCATGACTTTTGTCTCTGCAGACGTCTTTGCAAACTTCTATAAATAAGTTTTACTTAAAATAACAAGGCAGAAGCGTAAAAGAGAAGAGGTTGTTGCTTTTTGTCCTGATAGATTGTCACACCAAGGTGAATGATTTTATACAGGAAACTGATTCCTGCCACAAAAATAAACCATTCAGACAGGATCACTCAGGAGCCATTCATTTGCTTACCTGTCTTTAAAAAATGGTTTGGTCCCTTAAGATCTGTTTTTTCTAGTATTTCTCCTATGAATCAGTTCAAAACTTTTTGGCTCTTAGAAAGGTAGTCAATAAACTGTGATCATATTCCTTGTATCACCCTGCTTCTGGTGCGTTAAAGCATGTTCTTCATGTTACTTCTAACAATAATCTCCAGGTAAACATTGTTGATTACCACAGCATGAAGACTTGGTGAATCTGTTGCTGGAAACAGGGCTGAACGTGTTGCAAATCATCTTGTGATTTCTTAGTCCTCTGTTCAGCCTTAAGGTGACTAGACTGTTTCATTTTTGTTGTGAATACCTCAGGTCTTGTCACTGGACTGCCTTTCCTTCCTGGTTTTGAACTAAATGTGATACTTGCTCCTGGGAAGGTACATGGCTAGAAGGCAAGCAGTGCTACATAAATAGTCATCTTTTCATGCCCGTATTGGCAGAAATTTTGTTGCATACACTTGTGATAGATTTTGACAATGAGGATTTAGCTCTCCCTGCTGTGTCTTTTATTATTCTGTAGTTATAGTCAGCATATGCGTTCACTTCTCGGCAGCTACTGGGAAAGTTGCATTAAGTACCAAAAAGAAGCAACACTAAGATATTCAAAACACTTCATTATCATTCTGCTTTTTCTTCCGCTCTCCACACTTTCCTACCTTTAAAAAAGCCCTTCTCCGTTTTGCTTCTTGTTTTCATTTTTCCTCATCTTGTTTGAGCTTTTTATAAAATTCTGACTTCCATTTGGTTTTCAGTTGCAATTCCTGGTCTCCAGACATTTCCATCGTGATTTGACAAAGGCCCTTTGAAATTGAAAATTTGAGGCTTGGTTTTGGACAGTTTTAAAAGTTCTGCTGCCTATTTTGAATTCTTCTGAAATGTATTATCCAAATTATAAACTAATGTAGCTGTGACACACTTCTGAATTCTTTTATTTTGTTTGGTGGTGGTTTATTTTTTTCAATTCCAAGGACCTCTTGTTAGATATTAATTATTTATCTAGTAGAATTTTGAGATCTTGGTGCTTTTGTAGTTACAACATGACTGCTGTAAATAATTTATACCTAAAACTTGACTGTTAAATAATTTATATTTGCTAAAATCTGAACATTTGGAGAATAGTTTCAATTGGCGAAACTGTTTTACTTGAGCATTAGGCCTTCAGACTCATGCTTAGTTTTACATCACGCTGAATATTGTGATAAGATCTTGGTGTATCCAGTAGACATAAAGTAATCTTGCTGTTGAGGACAATATTGCTATATAAAATAAAACCACAAACACTTATAAAAATGCCCAAAAGAACATTCTGAAATTTAAGAGTGAATATATTTCCACAACAAGCAAGATGGGACTTTATGTGTCCATCTCTGGCAGTATATGACATAGATTATGTGAATGTACCATACTAGCATTATAAGGACTGCATGATTTTGCTACAAGACAATCTCAAAACTTTTTGCAAATAATTAAACCACTTCTGTGTTCTTTTAGTGATTTAAAAGATCAATGTTTCCTAATAGTTTCATTGACTCAATCACTCCAACACACTTCTGTAAAAGGGAGACTTTTTTGCTGTTCTCTCATTAATTTCCCAGCTCTTAGATGTAGTATTACAAGAATGTCTCCAGGTTGAGCTATTTGCCTTTCCTTTACTTTTCTGACTTGCACTGGACGTGCAATGGGCTGTGAGCCACTGGAGAAGCAATGACATGCCAAATCTCAAAGCTGCCATTTTAAAGCAGCTGTAGTGCTCCTCCAAACCTGACTGGCCTCGACAAAGTTATTTCTGTATAGTTGCCAGTAGCCAGAAAGTGATGTATTTCTAAATATGCTGTGGCTCCTTTTGATATTTATTTTGGCACTGAAAAAATGGAACTAGATCTTTGGAATGTGAAGCATCATAAGTAAGCAGTGGCACTCTAATGAGGAATAGCAGTAGGCAGTTCATTCACCCGCTTTGTCCATTTCTTCAAACCACTAATTTTCTGTTGGCAGATGAAGAATAACCTGAATTCAGAAATTTTCAATTGCCTCTGAGAGGAATACTCCGCAAATGGGGTCCACTAGGATTTCTCTCACCAGGCAATTAATCCTGCCATTGATAGATGTGATTAATAACTCATGAGCTCTTTACTACCCATTTCTTTCCAATTGCATAAATCAAGGTTACATTGCATACTTCCCCTGTTATTTTTCTTCATGAATGCTTGAAAGAGGTGCAAGTGTTGTTAATTAAATCTATTTTTTTTCTTTGTCTCTTTCTCTTACTGAAATATAATATATTTTCCCAGTGATCAGAAGATGCATTAGCTTTGTTTGTTTGTGACATCCAGTTGTGAAAGTCATCCAGTTGAGGCTGGATTTCTGAGTATTGCCGGTCATTGCTCAGTCACATTCATTTACAGAAGATTATGCTTTCATTTCTCCTTTCTCTTTTATGCTGAAAATGTAAGACAGCACCTTTCCTCAGGACACAGATGTTGTCTTCTGAGAGCTGTGGACACTTCTTTGGATGCCTGGCTTGCAGCAGCATTTCTGTTTCACCCCATAGCTTGAAACTATTCCAGAGGTGGGAATAAAAACAGATTGTTCTCTCCCCAAGGAGGTTCTTGGAGCAACTTTCAAATGATTTCTTTCTTTCTGACATTGGAGCTTTTTTCCTCTATGTAAATACAATTCTCTGTATGTTAGATCTCATGCAACTGATAAATTCAGACGCCTTTGTTTGGATAATGTGCAGAATCCTTTACAACAGTTTTTTTTTTTCCTGTAGCATTTCAGAAAGAGTTTTAGACTATTCTATATCAAACATGAAAACATTTTTATCTGAATTACTCCTTGATGCTCAGTTGTTTTTCAGTTCCATAGTTACTGGAGAGATTTCTCTGTCTTGACACTTGAAGGCATAATCATAGATTCTTTGTAGCAGTGATTATGTTGTAGGTATGACCAACTGCATTTGTTTGGTTTCCCTTAGGGTGGTAGTAAATCTTTTGCTTTACGGCACTTTGAGACTTTCTAAGTCTGCTGTTTGTAGAATATTGCTGCTTTATGCATCTGTGAAACTCCTCACAGGACATTAATAGCCACAGTCTACAGACTTTGTGAAAAACAAGCTTAATGATCAATAGTATGTAAACTTTAATATACAGTAGGACTCTGCAATCAGAATCACAGAATCACAGAATGGCCAGGGTTGGAAGGGACCTCAAGGATCTTCAATCTCCAACCCCCCTGCCACATGCAGGGCCACCAACCTCCACGTTTAATGCTAAACCACGCTGCCCAGGGCCCCATCCAACCTGGCCTTGAACACCTCCAAGGACGGGGCATCCACAACCTCTCTGGGCAATATTGTTGTCTTTCTCATTCCTCTTCCTTTTAGTATTTTTATTAATTATTCACCAGTTCATTCAGCTAGCAGTATCAGAAAACATTAAGTCTCATGAAAGGCAGCACTCATTACAGCCCTTCTTTCTTTCTTTCAGATATTTTTTGGACTTGGAAACTAATTAATAAAAAATTTTTATTTTTTTTTTTTTAAACCTGTCTAATTTGGAAGCAAATAACTAACTTTTTTAGCATCTTCTTAATTTGCCATCCACAGGTTTGTCTCATTTTTTTTTTTTGGAGAACTTGTCATTCCCTTTCATGAAATCAAATTTTTATAGCTATTCACAGAGCAACAAGAAAATAATATAGATTATGTCTAACTGCAGCTATTGAGTTCTCTCCATAGTCTCTTGTCCACTCCTTGTGTGGGCTTTAGAGAAGGAAAGAGATTCTGAGTTACGGGACAGCCTGCAGATAGGAAGGATCAATGGATCGATGCCTTTTCTTTCTTTTCATTTTTTTCTCTTTTTATCTTTTTTTGGTTTCCTCTGCAGAAGAGAGGTTGTGTAAGGGAGACATCCCTGAGGGATGGTTTTCTGGGGTTTTCACTGTCCCAAGTTAGGATGCATCCACCATACATTTGCCCTGGGACAGAAGTGTAATATTTGAGGAGCAGTCAGCAGTCTGTCTTTATCCTCGGCATCGTTTCATTGTCCAAGTGACGCTGCTCTGGTTCTTGTTCTGGTCACAAAAATGTACCTTCAGGAATTTTTCAGAGCTTAATAATCTTTACTGGGGGGTTTCTGAAGTGCTAGTTAGTCTTCAGAACGAAATGTCAGAGTGTGTTGTGGTTTGCAGGCAAAACTGGAAAAAGTGTCTTATCTCACAACCTCAAGTAAGAGCAAGTTGGGAAAAAATGAAATCTGGGTCACTGCTTGTGATGAGTAAGCAGTTAGCAGCCTACCATCTGCGGAGCCATTTCTCCCCCTCTGGGAAGCAATAGAGAAACATCAGAACAACAAAATCCCAGAGCAGGCTATTAGGCATCTCGTGCTTTTCTACTACCAGGTACCATTTTTCCATTGTTGGAAAAATTGTTAACCCCAGTAAGGTATATATGTTGTTATAGATCATAATAATCTATGCAGAGTTTTACTGGAGTGAAACTGGAGTTTTATGCAATAGAAAAACGAGCTTAGTAGTGTCATAATGTCACAGTAGACTGCAGCACTGTAGATAGACCAAACTAAGGTGGAAATTAAAGCCTCTTGAATTAGCGAAACAGTGCAGTTTAAAGATAGACTATAAATGCAATTGCACTTATATATATGTGTATATATAAATATAAAGGAAGGAGAATTATGTGGCCTAATTAATGAGAGCACAGTTGCAAATGAACTCTTGAATTCTGTGGTTTGCTCTGAATTTTTTAGTGTCCTTTTTTTCTTAATTTTCTCATCTGTGCAATGGGGCAAGGTGGTATAAGCTTTGATTAGTGTTTGTTAAGTGCTTTGATTGCTCGTTTAGCACTAATTACTACACTAGTGTATTTGTGCTTGGTAGTGCAGAGGCAATTCAACTTGTACTAGCAACTATAAAATGCAGAAAGCTGAGGACTGAACTCAGGACATGTACTGAGCAGGATGGTGGAGCCCAGCCAGCCTTCTGCTTTATGTGCCCTGGAAAGGAATTTATTTTGAACTCTCATGATGCAGAGAGCCTTTAGGCAGTACTTGTAGCACAGTTCCATTTGCTGTGCGCAAATCTACGAGGTGTAATCCAACATGGATTCGGAATCAGCAGAATCTAAGGCAGGTTCTGGAGCTGAGCCTCTGTCTCTCTGGTTGCTGCAGGTACCACATCACAGGAGAGGAACACCTTCCCGACGGCCTGTGGGAGAGGGCAGTGTGAGCCATGCTATTCTGCTTGGTAAAGCTTTACTTCTCTGTCTCTTTTCAACAGAAACTTGCAAGCGGAGTATGACCGTTTGAAGCAACAGCATGATCACAAAGGATTGTCTCCACTGCCATCCCCACCAGAGATGATGCCGGTTTCTCCACAGAGTCCCCGCGATGCTGAACTTATTGCAGAAGCCAAACTGCTTCGCCAGCACAAGGGCCGCCTGGAGGCTAGGATGCAGATTCTGGAGGATCACAACAAACAGCTGGAGTCACAGCTGCACAGGCTGAGGCAGCTGCTGGAGCAGGCGAGTCCTGAGGCCTTTTCTGAGATCTCTGTGGAGTGATTTTCAAACAGGGTGTGAGCTGTTGCCCATAATGATAGCATACCACAAAATCATATCTGTAGAGACTAGTCAGCGAAAAATCTTAAATTGTTTAAAATTGACTTCAGGAGGCAAAGTGAAATCATGTTTCAGAGTTCTTATCTAGTTATCTCTTTTATTCAGAATTTAAATGCATTGGTCATGTGGATATACTTAAAAAACAAGCAGAAAACTGTGTGTATTCATGGTATAAATAAAAAAATATGGAGGTACAAAGAATTGTGCGACTGTATCAAACTGTTAATAACAATTTCTTCTTTTTTCCCTCAATTTTCAGCCACAGGCAGATGCCAAGGTGAATGGTACAACACTATCATCTCCTTCTACCTCTTTGCAGAGGTCAGACAGCAGTCAGCCAATGCTTCTTCGTGTAGTTGGCAGCCAGACTTCAGAAACCATGGGTAAGAGAACAAAGTTCGGATTGTCATAAAAAATAGTTACAGTCCCATTTTCCAGGAAAAAAAAATCTTGCTGCCTTGTTAGTTCAAGTGAAATGAAGTAGACATTTGCAATAGTCTTCGATGTCAGTTGGCTCTTTACATTTTCATTGTGGCTCAGGCTTTTGGATGTGATGATGATGTGCACAGTAGCGTAGATATTTTGACTTTAAATGCACAGATCAGTCAGGGCTTGAATTCTAAAAACAAACATCACAAGGAAACTAGTTAAGTGTTTTATTCAGGTTGACATTCAGCTATTAAGCATAACATGGCTGACTGAAATGTACATAGTATTAATTAGGACAAAGAGATTAAGTGTATGATTAATCATCCCCATGTTAACTGAGTTGATGGTATTTTTAATATGTCATTGCTTGAGCAGTAGGATAGAGCTGTCACTCTCCAGCAGCTCGTGTATTGTCTCTTCTAAGTAAATGTCACATGAGATGTAGAATAAGGTTAAGTAATAAGAAGCCATGAATAGAGATTGGAATTGTTATCCACTGTTCTGTTGCATTTTCATGATTTCCTGTCTGTTTTATAATTAGTGAGTATTTATTAGCCAGTGGGAAGGATTTTCTGTTAGTGAAATGCAGTCATCCATTGCAGCATCTTTAAGTAGTAGTACTTAAATTATTTAAGCAAGATAATATTTGAAATTGGAAAGTAACATACAACTTCATAAATATAAATGTATTAAGTGTACATCCAAGAGAGGCTTTTGGGGGAAGTGGAAGTCTTAAATGGAAGCTTTTCTCTTTACTATGATTAGAGAAAGAGTCTGTCACAGTGAGAAATGGAATGGAAAGAAATGTTTTGGTTGGTCTGAAGTGCCATAGTTATGAGAGAGGCAACCTGTGGAGTTCTGTCTTCCCTCCTGAGTGTGGGTGGAGTTGTCAACTTGTACTGGTATCAAACAAGATGCGTTCTGTAGGCTCTACCACCAAAAAAAAAAAAAGTGAAATAAATCGTAGGGTCACTTAAGTTAAAGACTGGGGACAAGAGTACAATGACAGATAATGGGAATTTCATTTAATTCCTCCTGTAATTATGTTACTAGTGAGTAAATATTTTGCTGCAGAGTAATTTTCAGTGGCTTTCCGAAGAAACGTCATGAATTTCATGACACTAAGTATGCTAATTAAAAAGTCTTACAGTTTCATATTTTTTCCTTTAGTAGGCTAGAAATACAGTCATGTACTTCCTTTCATTTGACTTGATCTAAAATAATTCCCTTTTAATATGTGAGACTGGTATTAATTAATATGCATATAATCATATTAGCAGCTGAAGCTTTTTTTTATTTGAAACAGATGTTTAGACATGAAATGGGTTTTTTTCTTTGTTTGATTGAGACAATATGTGGAAGAACAGAGAGGTGTTGAATTGTTATCAGTACGATCATGCTGACACTCAGCAATGCAGCAGGGTCAGCAGTAAGGAACAGTGTTTATAAAAAGAATTACTAATCACAGCTGTTGCTGTCACCTTTCACACCAGAAAGCATCGTTTGCTAGTTCGAGAGTTTTTTCAAAGCATAACTTAAAGTGTTCTGAAATTGTGAATGGAACCAGAATGGTGTTATAAATAATGCTTTCATACGAGAAGCTTGCTCCCAATAAAGAGGGAGTCATAATTTTCAAGAAAATGCCAAGGATCTATAGGTCTCTAAAGACAGTGACCACTGTGGTAGCTTTTATATATTTTTGTTTCTGACAGGAAACCCATCTCTCTGTTTCGTGTCTCTCTGCTTTCTCAAGGAGGGATTAATATAAAAAGCTTTCTGCCAGTGGTGTTGTCCAACCTTTTGGTGAAAACAGTAACTCACTCAGAGCCTAATTTGCAAATCCCTTGATAAAGAGACAGTTAAGCAAGTTGAAAATCTTAAATGGGAAGGCCCCAATCTTTGGCTTTCCACTTCAGTAATGTAGTGGTAACGGAGACTCTCGGAGCCATGAAGCTCTGAACCAAGAGGTTGTTGCTGAACTTCAGTTTATTCAGGTGCCAAAATTTGTGATCCACCCAGCTCTCCATGCCCTTTATAGAAACACAAATAGGGAAGACCAGTTTGGGTGGAGACGTAATGAACATCTGAAGATTTCTTGGCTGGTATCTTGTGTTACTTACAAGGAAGGGCTCCGAAAAATCATCCAAATGGGAAGGAACAAACCAGTGCATTTTAAGTAAAGTTATAGGAGTCCTGAGGGTAAATACAGTTCAATTTATAACAGCACTTACCAGGATATTTGGAATTCCATAACTGTTGCCAGTTTGTTTAAGGCAGTTCTTGGCCATGAGAGCAGAGCTGCTGCCTTCTTACAATCTTCGGTTGTTTTCTACATGCATGCTCACAAGGCTTGGGTAGATGCGGTAAGATCTTGCTCTAAGTTTCCACCTTAGCATCCAGCAGAGGCTGAAAGGACCTTCATGTTGTTAAGGCACCTCTGTTGATGTAGCACTTGATGCAGAAATAGCTCACGATGTGAGTTGAGTGTTACTGGCTTGTGAACCCAACGCCTGTAGAAAAATCTGAACAAACTGCAGCAGTCTCAGCAGCTGTTTTTCAAACCATTAATGGAATAGCTGTTCATATGAATCATGTGCTTCTTGCAGATGCTTTACCTTTGTTTATCTACACTTTGTTACCAGTAATTCTTGACCATTAAGTCTTTTGAAACTCCTGGCCTGAAGGTGAGGCTAACACTAATTCAAGTCATAAGCAATATATACAGCTGTGAAGTGCTCCTTTTAGCAGCATCTCTTTTAGTAGACATGGCACTAATGTGGAATGCTGATAGTGTTTAAAGAATCTTAAGGCTAACAGCAAATTAGATTATTTATTACTGAAGTTGAGTAGGTCAAGGCATAATAGAAAAAAGGACCCTTAAGTCATTTTTAAAATAAGGATGTACCTCTCTGTGATTATTACAAAAGGCAAAATTGTTTTTGTATTTTGGTAGAGATAAAAGGAATCTAGTAAGAGGATCTCACTGAAAGTATCATTTAGGTATATTCTCTTTTTAGGTGTTTTATTCCTATGAGAGGCAATGGTTTTACAGTAAAATAAACAGATTGATTGTGGTTATTGGAAACCGCAACCAAAAATAAAATATATTGAATTTCCCATTAAGCTACTGCCCTGTGATGAGGTTATAGAAATTGTTCGGTGGGAGAGATGTGTTTCACTTTATTAAACTGCTGCTAAGCCCTTTTAAAGTACAATTGAATGTTCTTGGAGCGCCAATCTGATGCAATTAAACTGTCAGAAATATTAATAGTGATGCAGATGAGAATCTTGGTTTCTACTGATTTAAGCAGCTAGGCAAAGCAGCACTACTGTGCATCCAGCACTGTTAGAAAGCTGCTCAATAGCAGCACTCACAACAGTAGTTTCTTTTACCATTAATAGAATAAGGGAAGTTGAAACGAGGAGCCTCATCTCTAGAACTAAATGTTCCTAGCAGACATTTTGCCCCACTTCTTTTACCAGAGCAGGTTATTTCTTAACTTTCTTATTACAAATTTAAATCAGGGTTAATTGTGTTAAATCCATTTGATTTTCCTTAGATCCTTAAACTTGCAAGAATAGTAAATAAAATCAAATTGGCAATTTTCATTATGTAGTAAGCAGAGAATGTGGCTAAGTCACTGAGCATAGCTTCATGAAGGACATACGCAGTAGTTGGGATGTTAGCAAATGATTTCATAGTAGCTTCAATGCAGCGGTCTGGATCTGCTTTCCAGGCGAGGACGACCTGCTCAGCCCTCCCCAAGACACAAGCACAGGTTTGGAGGAAGTGATGGAGCAGCTTAACAACTCCTTCCCCAGTTCCAGAGGTAAGCCCTGCTGCCCGGGAGCATGTGCCAGTGGAGGAGGGCATCACTATCTTGTAAAGAAGTTGTGGATGTTCTGGGCAGAGCGGAAGTTAAAACTGCATTCTCTTCCTTCATGTTTTCAGGTGTTTGGGTTTTGGTTTCCATTTTTTTGCTGTTACTTTTTTTTATTTTACCAATTGCTGTAGATAAACCTGTCCCGTTTAGAGTGGAGAAGCAACCTGCCCCTCCTTTACCTTAAGGTACGTCCACAGCTAGATAAGTGGATGAAACAGCATCCTCTCCAACTCTTGTTTCCTTAGCTTTTTATTCTTCTCCCTTTTGGCTGTGTTCCTTTTCTCACAGCTTCTCTCCTTCAGGCTGTCCCCCTTTCCGATTTATGTCAATACATCCTACCACGTTTATCTTCCTGCCTTTTTCCAAGATGAACATGCTTCTAAATAATATTAAACTCTAAATCAGAGTTCTTGACCTTGTAGCACGTAAGTTCAGAGTGACAGAGGAAAAACAAGTGGGTGGTTTGTTTGTGCAGCAGAGGCTGCATACAGCCACAGCATTTCTTTCAATACCTCTATTCTGCTCATTCCTGTTGTTTGCTCAAGGTAGACATTTGTATTTTTTGGAACTTGTTTTTTTCACCGAGGAGGGATCTTACCTGAGTCCAGCTGAAATACAGGAGAGGGGATGTGCAGGATGTACCTGTAGCAGTTAAGAAGGCTCAGACATAATCCTCTTGGCTGAGGGATGTCTCAGTGTCTATTGATACTTGGTTGACTGGGTTTCGATAGGGACATAGACTGCCTGCAGGAGCTCTCTTGGATACCATTCTTGACTAACTAGGAATAGAAAATAAAGGTTTTTATTTTATTTGTGAGAAATGAAAAGTAAAAGTTCACGGGTAAAAATAGCAGAATATGCATACCAGTGGAAAAAAATGGAAATTTTTAACAATAGTTAATATTTTAGTTCAGAAAGATAAGCTGTAACTTAACATCTCCATTCTGTTGTTACAGAATATGGTGATTTAAATGTGGAGAATGAATATATTTCCTGATTTTATTTCTCTTTTCAATAACCATATTAAAAGTGTATTAAAAGAGATTGCAAGAAATATATTCTTTGTGAAGAAACAATGAAGAAAAAGTGGCGAAGTATTTGCTGGGACAGTCTCCTACTCAGACAGATGAGAACGAATCAGAATTAGTATGTTTAGATAACAATTTATTTTCACAGATGGTGCTGATTCAGAGCTGTTTTCCCACTGCTTATGAATGTGCTATCCTTATCTTTCTATCCTTTGCTTGTACAGCAGAAAGACTGCTCCACAATACTTGGCCTTTGTAGACTCTATCAGCTCTTCTGTCCCTGAAATAATATATCACTCATATCAAATTTTCTAAAACACAGCCGCTGTTTGTTTCCTGTTTTTCTGCCTGACTAGCAACAGTAAAGGACAAAATTATTCTCTAGCGGAGAGAGTCTGACAAAATCAGAGTCCCTACAAGACATTTCTCTTGGACCTGACCAAACCAGTTTTGGGCTTTATAAGAGCCTGTCTCTTCCCCTCTCTTTGGCTACCCAGTAAGATTAGTTCCCGTGGGAGAAAAAGTTGTTCACTTCTTGTGACTTATTTTACAGTTTGGGCTAAAGAGATCGAGGATGCGTTTCATCGTCTTACTTTGTTCTTTATTTTTTGATGCGTTTTGCACTAATGTTAGGTTTGTATAGTTGCTTTTTGATTGAAGAGTAGGGAAGGTAAAACCATCTGTGGAAAAAAGAAGTTTCTCCCACAGCCAATGCAGATGGCTTTCCAGTCACTGATATATAAGGCTAGTGAAACTGTCAATTTTGCTGAGACTTCACACATACTTCGGTAATGGAGTTTTCTTCTGCTTCATTTTAATGATTAACTGATATTTTCAGTTGAATATCGTGATACTGCATAAACGGAGCTTACATCAACAGATACTTTGCCACAGCCAGGATTAGAATGTAATCTAAGGTGGTGCCATCCAAGTGCAGGCAGCTTCCACAGGTTTCTGGGATGCTACTTGTAATTTACAAAACTGTAGATGGGGGGAAAGGAAGCAGAGCTGATTCGTTTCAGCAGAACTCTGAATTGAAGGCCATCTTGCTGTTGAGACGTACAAATCTGTATCTCTCTATCACTATATCTATAGTGTCAGAGCAGCATAAGATAAGGATTCAGAAGTGGTGGAAGTGTTATTTCTTTACACGACAGGCAGCATAAAATCTTGAGCCACTTGCAGATTTTCAATAAACAAAACAATAAACTCAAGCAACAAGCACAAATCTATCAAGATTTTCTTACGTTAATTCTTTTATGTTTTTAAGTAGACTTAAAAAATTGTCTGTCGCAAGAAACAGTCATCGTAGCTTGGCTGTCAGAGTGCTTTCTGACACAGTAGCTCATGAGATGTTATTTAAAACTTGAATTCAAACTATGTGGATTAAATGCAACCACTCAGAATGCATACCATCTCTAAGAGTTCAGAATAGCAGGATGATAGATTAAATGTGCAAGGTTGACTAGGATTTGAAATAACTGTGTTTTTTTTCTATACTAATGTTGTAGAAAGAGCATTCTGCTGTGGTATTAATAGATTATGCAATTTCAGAGGAGCTACAAATGGCATAATGCACACAGCAAAATCTTAGTTTGAAAGAGAAGAGAATAAAAAAACGAAATCCATCCTTCCAAATAACCTGAAATTGGAATAAATGGAGGAAATCTGGGGTTATATTAAAAGCCTGGGAAGTTACTGTCAATACATTAAACAGGATATTGCTTCAGGAAGCTTTTATTTTGGCCTTCTGAAACAAAGCAATAAATTACATGGTATTGGTTAATTTTTAGTCACCTGGAGACAGATTTGTTTCGATTGTCGTATTTACCAAATCTTTGCTATATATTGGTGCTCTGAAAGAGACATCAAGGTTTCGTGGCATTTGTTTTGAATGTATTTTAGAAAACCATGCATTAAACAAATTAAGTCACAGATCTTCATGAGCAGATTTCAGATGAAGTAACCTGTATTCCTCTGTACCTTTTATAGGTGTTCAGTTTCTTCAGTTTAACCTTTGGGCAGTTGTTAGCGTTTCCTAAGTAGTGCAGGACCTCTGTGCTCTTCGCACAGCTGAAAGCTTTGTAGGTGCTGAAAGCCATTTGATTTCTGTGGAGGAAAATGTTGCTGAATACCTGATGATTGCTATCCCTAAGTAGTTCTTCTTTACTTGAAGCCTATGAGATTTCCCATCCATTCCTGCTTTACTTTGCTGCTCCCAGCAAATTCACAACTGCTGCAGCTGCTCTAGACAGCTGCTGTGCTAACTCATAACAGATGTGAAAGTCAGAGGTCTGACATTTAGTGGAAATATACTATTAAATACCACCTCATGGTTTAGTTGACCCTGCTAGATAGTAGGCCACAGAGGAAAACATTTTCACACTGTGTCACCTGAATCTCCTGGGAATTCTTTTGTAATTAGAAAGTAAGATTGGCAGGGTAGTATTTTTAAAGCCAAATTCACTTCTCCTTCAACACTGAGGACAAAGAGTTTGCATTATTGCAGGTGGATCTCACAGTGGAGCAGACTATTTTGTAGTTAGGGTTTTGTGGCAAATGGTATTTGTGAGTGAAACTCAGAAGTGAATTTCAGGACAGTTCTTGAGTTACTGAACTCAGTATGAGTTCCCCACAATGTCAGTGCAGAGCAGTGCTTGTGAAAGTAGGAGCAATGATGTGGTTAGAAATGAGACCGTGGTGGCTTCAAAGAGCCTGAGGCTGTGGCATTACTTGGACACCTCTAGAGAGGGATCAGCACTCACCATAATTATTTAACACAGTACTGCCTAATACAGATGTTTTTTTGTGCAGTGACATTACAAGATCCCACAACATTAAATAAATGGCACTAAGAATAGCAGAAGTTATGCTTTACTTTTATCTCATTCACATAGAAGCATACCAGACACATTCTTTTCTTGCATCACCCAGCTTCTCTGAATGGGTTAATGTTGTAAGTGGGACTAGCAGCTTTGATCACTGCAAATAACAGAATTTTTCTCATTCTGGCAGCTAAACACCTCATGACTCAGACTTTTCACAGTGTACTGAATCATAAGAATACTCTGGAGTAATTACACTGTAGGGAATTCTGGAAATACTCTTCCAGTTGAGCTAGCTTGGCTCCTTCTCGTGTGTATTCCCCCCCTCCATGCTGTGGTCCTGCATAGCACATCACTTGGCCCAGGTGACTGAGATTCCTTACGGTTCTTTTGGGGTGGAGTGCTGTAGTGTGTAGCAGCTGAGCTGCTCTGCAGAGTTCTGCAGTAGTGATATGGAGGGCTAGATCCTTTCTGACACTGAGTACTCAGTCCTGATGTAAACTAAGAATACATTAATAAAAGTCGCAACACTTCAATCCACTTCTATTTTAAGAAAAAAGTACTGTTTGCAGATCTCTCTAAAGCCTGCCCCTCTCCTGCATTCTGTGGAAGAGAAGCAATTCAGTGGGTGCTTTGTGCTCTGTGCTTTAATCTAAAACTGCATAGATGCATGAGGTTGCTGAGCCTTTTTCTGCTCCTTGTAAAACACTCGCAAACTTATCATATTCTTTCCCTGCCTTTCTACTGCAGGTCATGACACCTTCCAAAACTTGACAGCAATTAGGTCTCTGTTATGCTGACCGGTGTCTTCTCTGTCACATAGCTTTCTCTCCCCCTGCTGTCTCATAACACTCACAATTACATTACTTACAGCAGCTCTGGGGCAAAGATCATTCTCTTTCTTAAACAGTATCTGCCTTCGAGGCTCTTAGAGGCCTAAGACTCATGATCTGGCAGTACCAGTGCTTCAGGAGTGTACCAGTTGCAATGGAATATAGCTTCTGGAGATGGCTAGTATTTATTGTCACTGGACATAGAATGGGTACAGGGGGAAGTGTTTCAGCAGTTGATTTGCACCCAGCTTTTTTTTTTT